CCTTCAGGAAGTACAATAAAGATAAAACTTACAACATACAAGTTTTCTGAAAATATTGCTTTGTTAATGAATGTATTCATTCAAGCACGTATTTAAATAATTCGGTGCAATGTTTTTGTAATTTCTCTCTATGAGGCAACTAATGTAGACTGATAAATGGAGTAAAAGCCATTAGTATTACAAATTTACTATGTCAAGGTTTTCAATTTAATAGCATTTGATGAACAAAACCTAGGTTGTTTCAAAATATTATTGTGACATCTAGTCGAAATATAAATTCCCTTATACTTGTATTTGTAGCTTGTGGTGTGCCGTGGTATTATACGTTGCCGTTTCGGCAACTGTACTAGAAGCATCTGTTTTTATTTTTTAAACTAGCAGTATCCCGCGACTTCGTCTGCGCAAAATAAAAAAAAATGTAATTAATTGCCTATGTATTCTTCTAAAGTACCATGCTAAATTTCAGCAAGATCCATGCAGCCGTTCTGGAGATACTTTCTAAAAACATCCATCCATATAAACTTTTGCATTTATATTATAATTTTGGTAAGATGGAATGAGAAGGGTTACGATATTTTTTTCTTCGAATGTTTCGGCAAACTCTCGTTCACTTGGGAGATTTTTCATCAATGACTTGTTATATATACATTGTTCTTTAAACAATGTATTCAATAGTATGGATACAGGTGTTCCGTACAATATGTTATTTATAATTCGAAAATGTCGAACTGCAAGTTTGAGTCATGTCTGTCGAAAATTAGTATCACATCGAACACCGCTATTGTGTAATGATGTTTATAAACTCCTCATTGTATCAATGCTTCGATTTGATAACAAATTATATATACAATTCATCATCATCAGCTCACTATACGTCCCCACCGAGGGGCTCGGAGCCTATCCTAAGTTAAGGGTGATTAGGCCATAGTCAACCACGCTGGCCAAGTGCGGGTTGGTTGACTTCACGCATATCTTTGAATTACTTCTCAGATATGTGCAGGTTGCATCACGTTGTTTTCCTTCATCGTAAGAACGTCGGATAAATGTACATATGTTAATCGTAAAATCGAAAAACACATTGGTACATGGCGGGATTCGAACCCAGGACCTGCAGATTGCAAGTCAAGTGCTTGACCACTGAGCCACCGACGCTCCTTATATACAATTATGTTACTTTATTTATACTACTTAATTTTTATTTATGATTTGTAATGTTTACATTTATTGATAGTCTTTTTGGCACACGGTCAAACTTTTGAAAGGAATGTAGATGGCCTGCATAAAATCACGCTTAGCCTTGATATTGGATTAACAGATACAAATGTTTACGTGGTTACGTGGTTGTAGAATAATTGTGTATAATATTATAAAATGTAAGATTAGAATGTAATAAATAAAAATAATTATTAACCGTAGTTGTACCAAAGTTAGATTGTCGTTATAAACAAGTTTCATCGCGATTCCTGGTTGTACTTGAAATTTTAAATTCTTTAAGCATATTAACAACGCGCTCTGAATATTTTTGCCAATACTAACATAGTTACCTATTTGAGTACGCAATTTTACATTTGTACAATCACAATGAAAAGTTTTAATAAACATATTTCTACTATTGTCACTGGCAGTTTACATGTCGATTATGTTATGGTTTTCTTTAATTTACAAGTCTTGCTTAACTAATCTTGCTTAATCTGGATTATCTGTCTTTAACTTTTTTTTTTTATATCATAAGGTGGCAAACGAGCGAGCGGCCACCTGAAATCGCTGAAGTAGCGAAGTGACCGTTGCCCATAGACATACACAATTGCATATGCCTTGCCTACCTTTAATCGACGGAAAAGAGGATGCACAGAAAGAAAATATTTTAAAGTTGAGACAGAAGTCAGAAATCGCATAATATACCTTTTGACTATTTAGTAATTTGTCTCATGATATATCGAAAAAGTAGGTTTAGACGTCTGCTAATCACCTCATTAGGGTAATGGTTACCTTTTTATTTGCTTAACCTTCAACCTTATTTTAACGGTATAAGGATCATTTTACGTGTACAATACTGTACATAGTGATACAGATTCAGCCAGTTTTTGTACTTATTGTAAGTGTGTCGTGCGTCAAGCATCCGTGACTCGTTTTGTTCTATCATGATGAATTATAGGAACGCTCAGTTATCTGAGAGAAACTGATTCTTTACTAGGCGATGCAGCTTGTATTTAATTTAACCGTGATCCTATTTTTTATATGTGTAATAGTTATGATTATGTTTAAAGCAGGTTGTATAAATTTGCTGATAAATTGTTCGCTCGCACTGTGTTTAAATTATAAAATGGATATTTTTGAAGTTAGTTTTTATCTAATAATTTAGAAAACTGTAACTTAACAAAGTTATTCAGCTTTTTTTTAACTATATAGAAATTGTTTCTGATCCACTTGACCGGAAGCAGAACAACAGGTTTTCCTTGAAATTATTAATATAAATTGTTGCATATACTATCAGTTGTATACTGTATCCATAAGTAACTTTTAAGTATGATTAAATTGATCAGCTAAGGAATTGCGTGATAATAGTAAAAATAATTAACTATCTATAAATAAAATGTTAATGCTCAAGCGAGATAGATATAATAAACAGTTGCGTTCAGTATTTATTAAAGAGGCTATTCTAAACGATGTTCGTTCGTTTTACATTCACGCGGCAAGTTCACCGATCTCATTGCCATTTGTGGCCGTGAATGTACCGGTTAACCGATTAAGACATTTTCACACAAACGATACTACTATAGTTTTATATTTTATATCACTTAGAAAGATGGAAAGCTAGAAACATAAGTATTTAACATTTATGTTCCGATTAGCTGTCGCCCGCGACTCCGTCTGCACGAAATTTAAAGAATCTAGTAATGAATGTAGTCTATGTTGCCCAAAGAAAGTGTAGCCTCTTAACAGTTAAAGAATTTTTCAAATCGATTCAGTAGTTTTGGAACTTATTCAATGCAAACAATCATATTTTTCCTTTTCATAATATACTAGTGGACCCGACAGACGTTGTCCTGTCTACAAGTCTTTATTTCGAATATTATTTAAAATTTGACACTGCGATGGTAGCGCCGTCTGTCGGATCCAATGTAAAACATTCCAAAATCAACAACCACTAATAAATTAAAAATTAATTAAAAAAACATTGTCCAGCGGACAAAATTGTGAATCTAAACCATTCCCAGATCCCCTTGAACACACACAAAAATTTTTATCAAAATCGGTCCAGTCGTTTGAGAGAAGTTCAGTGACATACACACGCACAGAAGAATTATATATATAAAGATGTAAAGATTAGCTTTTTTAAAAGTGCCTCCGCTTTACTAAAATCATATAACCTGTTATGTTAGGGCCGATATTATGTAACACAATCATTAATAATCATATTAGATTTAACAGTTGTTGTATAGAAACTTTCCGCTCTTTGATTCCTGGTTCTATTAAAATACATAATATATTGCGTTTCTTTTAACTATGTTTGTATAAAAACGCTATAAAAAATCTTAATAATATTTAAATGGATGGATGTTTATTTGAAGGTATTTCCGGAACAGCAGGATGGATCTCGCTGAAATTCGGCATAGATGTAGAGCATAGTCTGGAAGAACACATAGGCTACTTATTAAGTTTGTTTTTAATTCCGCGCGGACGTAGTCGCGGGCGACAGCAATTATTATAATATTTTTGTTATACAGTTTTTTTTATTCATTTAGACACACGTGTTTGGAAAATGTATGTACCATTTATTTTATTTTATGTGATTGAGTTACTGTTAAGGGTAATTAAAAATGATGTACATGCATTTGTTTTAATAATGTACGAGCTAAGTCAGGTATAGAAGTGGTTAATTAAATGTTGATTTTATGGACACGTGTTTTGTCTTGGTACGTATTCAAATATAAGTTGTAGGGAAGTTACTTTACAATCGTATACTAACTTCTTCAATCTAATGTCAATGTTATGATTTACTCCAATCGTAGTAGACTGGCCGTCGCCCTTGACTTCAAATGTGTTGTTTTATAACTCAGTTGTTGCCCCATTCATAACGGTTTAATGGTTACTTTAATATTTAAAATGTAATTCATTCACATCCACCGTGTCGGTCTGGAGTGATAAACTTTCGCATCTTGGTTAAAAAATATGGAGTCGTTTCTATATTTTTACGTTCTTTTTTTAAGATGGGTAATGTGTTACGCATACCGGGTGCCTCGGGGAAAGACACTCCGGTTATGTGGGACTCTCTCCACATTCCTAAAGGGACATGGAGCCTACCCACTAAACCCCCTCCGGTTCCCTCCACTCACTGTTTACCGGGGTGTGGGTACATGTGAATACTCTTCGCACACATATATTTACGGCCTAAATAAATTACGAAGAATGTCAGTGAATTTCCAATTTGGCAAGAATATTGCTTGAATATTTTAAAGATATTAGAAGATATTGTAATACTTCCTTGTACTAGTTTAAACTATAATGATGGTAGTAGTCGGAAAATATTTCATGTTTAGTTAATTTAAATTATTTTATATGTTTTTATTTATTTTATTAATGAACTATGCCATTCCCAGATTGCTTTTATACAAACTGTTTCTTCGTCCTGATTGATTAAGTCAGGCACTATAAAAAACCTCAAGTAACCTGAGTTTTTTTATATTTTTTTTTTAAACCGAGGACCATTTTATTAGTAATATTGATGAAATACGTATAGTAAGATTTCGGTTTCCCCAATTTATTTTGCGGCAATAAATACGCGTTCGTTACTTTTATCGTAGTTTGCTTACTGTCGTAAAAACTCTGAATGTGCATCGTAGTTTTATCGTTTGATTAGTAAGAAACTTCTCAATTTTTTTGTGATTCTTAATTTATATTTCGTGTTATCAATGTTCGTAACAACTCTTATAAAGTTACCATCTTATATATTATGTGTGTTATAAATTAAAAAATAAAAGTTTTTTTCTTGTCCACAGAGTAGCAGCAGTCAAAATCCAAAATGGCGCACCACAGTACATCAAAAGTTGCAAGCGGCGCAGCGGGAACATCTAGTCATAGTTTAAGATACTGTTTCTTACGATTAACAATGCTCGTGTTGATTTTTGGTTTAGGTAAGAAATTAAAATGTATTTTTAAACTAAAACTTATTCAACTTTCCATGAAAACCAATATTAAAACAATTACAGTAGAGCAAAGTCCACGATATGTTCTTATCTTCCCTAAAATTCTTTAGCATGCTAATTTTCTTTTTAACTGTTAATTATTAGTCGATGCGTTTTGTTAGTGGCGTGCAATGATTAACGACTTTAGTGTTAATTAACGTGTCCAATAGATTTGAGTGCTTGTCAGTGCAAGAATCGTAAATCTACTGTAAATTAAACATAAAAATTGTGATTTATCTGTTCATATAATGTATGTATGAATGCTTTAGGTCTACCGAGCGCGTATGGGATAGAGAAATTATATCTAGACACAACGGATCTGAATATACTCGTTGATGAGAATCGACTCTTTCACATGATACAAATGTAAGTTTGCTATTGAAAAAATAAACCTAGCCTTCTATAACATCTAGTTTTGTAGAGATATCAAAATACAGACTGTCCATTGGATAACGTATACCATTTTTAATTCAAGTTTTAATACATTTTTGACTTATGTATCAAAAACAGCTGACCATTATCCACTGTGGTAGGTTTGAGTCTGGTCAGTAACTAAAATCTATAATATAATTCTTGAAATGTCTTTAAAAAATAAGAAATTCCAAGACATTAGACAATTATCTTTTTATAGTCCCTTGAGATTGGTATTAATTACAAATTTCAGCGGAGAATCCAAAGTGGCCATTATATTAACAGCACAAGTACAGCATCCGGACATCGTTCAGTTTCCTTCACCGACAATAGATATACCTGGCGCGATATACCCAAATAATACAGCAGAAATCACACACGACATCTGGGCATACGGCAAGAGCCCCGGACATTCTGAAGTCACTTTTAATGCAACCCCAGCTGGAGCTGTCGAGTAAGTATTATAAGATTCAATGTTTATAGCAGCTCGCAGTTACACTACGACTTGGGAAAAGTCTAACCTTATCGGGGTCTCTTGTGAAATTCCAAGCTTATATAAAGTTTGTATGTAACTGTATATATTTATAAACACTGATGCATATATAAATCATTTGATTTTTTTTATTGAATTTTATATCTTAAGAGCTACGTAATTAATTCTTATCAGATATCAATTTGATTATCAATTTATATATATTCGGTGATTTATAATTATAGTATTACATTACGAAACGTCAATAAAACAGTATTAATATTTCCCTTATTGAATTTTAATTTATTTGTAGTGTAGATCTTACTTTAACTCTAATTTAGATATTTTTATGGAGTAACTAAGAAAATAAGTAAACTTTTTCTGGATGTTTATGGAGTGAGAAATATATGAGTTTTATCTGAATATTTTAAGTGATTTATGTGAAAATTTTAGGTATGTAAAGCTTTTCTTAAAGGTTATTTACAAACAAGTATGCTAACAAACCTTTTTCGTCTTAACTGACCTATTTTTTCATTGCTTAACTTTTTATCTTTATTTTTATTACTCTTTTCAGCGTCAGTACGGTGTTCATGCGAATAACAGTCATGCATTCCCAAGTCATCTCAGTAATCTCCTACATTATGGGGTGGATCTACTTTGCAGCGTGGTCCGTCTCCTTTTACCCTCAGATTTATATAAACTACAAACGTAAAAGCGTCGTCGGTTTAAACTTTGATTTCGTCGCACTCAATATAATGGGTTTCACAATGTATTCCTTGTTTAACTGCGGATTGTACTTCTCTCCAGAAATACAGGTATGTGACGTCAAACTTTTATCGACCTTCATGTCATTATCGAGATAAAATTTGAAAGTGTCTGACTCTTGTACTATAATATCTTATCCAGTCTGATTGTATTGATATATCAAATAAAACGATAATTTTTATCTATTTACTAGTTTAGTGATTTTTCATTGTTATTGTTTTATAATTTATTTATTTATTTTGATGATTTGAAACTATTATAAGATTCATTTTAATCAAAATTACGTTAACGATGACTTAACACGTTCAATGCTATTAGGATTAAAATAAACAAGCCAGGCGAGTGGCAGTCAATGTGTTAATGATTATTTTGTATTTCCAGAGCGAATATTTGATCCGTCACCCGCGAAGTGTGAACCCGGTGCAGCTGAACGACGTGTTCTTCTCACTGCATGCAGCATTCGCCACATTGATCACCATCACACAGTGCTGCATGTATGAGGTAAGCACCACGACCTGGGACTGACGATAGGTGACTTAACCTTTGACTTAGCAGACAAAGAAAACTACATCCAGCTTTGACAAGAAATTAATTGATCTACAGAAGTAAACAAAGGTCACTCCTAAATATGATTTCGTCAACTATCTCTTGGTTATAAAGTCGTCAAATGAAGGAAATTTTAAAAGAAAGCCGTTAATTCAGCGAATCTTAGTAGTCCAAGTTACTTAACATCATTGATGTAATATTGCGAGTCAAGGATTATTTGTCTTGCATTTTTCATAACAATAAGACTATTAAAATATTGTTAATATGTAACAATTGTTAATACTTTATGTCGTTCTCCGTGCACAGTTATCTTTTTATCTAATAATATAATACAATGTCATATTACTTACGTTATATGTTTCTACTCACATCGTTTATCTTAAAGATTCTCAACATAAAAATAAATTTAAAGAAAAAAAAACAAGATAACAAGATAGAAAAACTGGTACGGATCGCTGATAAAATAAACATAATCCGAAAAAAACACATAGAACACGGCCGTGATGTAATTTCGCGTTTTGTCTGTTGAGTATTTAAAATTTTATCACCTTTCCATTTCCAATTCTTCTTATAAGGAAAGGGTGGGAGGCGAAACTAGATTTGATAGAGAAAGGGACGTATAGTAAAAGGAAGTATCCTCTCCCTGTGCCTCCCCTCCTAAGATTCTGCAATTGTGGATGCCAATGAGCAGCGGTTGCTTCCGTATTTTAGTGAATTTAGTTGGCACATAGCTCCTTCGCCACCTTGTGACATAAAAACGACTAACGAGAATGTACTTATAATATTTGAACCCCAATTATTTGGGAAAATTAGTCAAGTTTATTTTGCAGAACTGATTGACAGTCTTAAAACAGATTTTGGAAGACAATTAATTGAATAGATTAGCGATTATGTAGGAAAATAAAACTTAGTCCATGAGACATCTCTGAATATATAGACGTATGAACACATACGAAATAATAAAGGTGCATAGAAATAAGTTTACTGGATACGATAAAACAATTTATTAAATCTATGTGACAGCTATTTTATAGTAATTGCATTCTACAATCGTTCAAGGCTGTCCGGTCTCCTTACAGAAACAGATTTATCTTCTTGGATTTTTCCTTATTGCTTAAAACAAATACTAAAGATTAAAACCTTTTTGTTGTGTATGAAAGGATGAGTTTTTGTGATGTCTTCGTTTGCTAAGCGTACGAAGTTTTTGTCAGTCGTCTTCAACCTTAGTTAAATAACAATCATTGCCGGTTTGAAATGGTTTTTATTGTTCCGAGACGTGACTTTTTATTCTGTTAGTCTAGTGATTTACTTGTTTATTTTTTTCGTGGCTTCCGTACTTATGTTCGAAGGTTTTATTTCTAATGTTTTTTTTTTAAATTAGTATAAACAGTCTGGTAATTTTCTAAAGATTATTTCTTTCATAAAATAAATAGTTCCTACAGTTTCGTCACCAGTTGAAAGTAAACCAATCTAATGAAGTAATTTACTATACATTCAGAAATATTTAATATTTTCGATTGTATAGCTTTTGTAACTATGTTAAAATAAAATCTAGCTTTATCCACAAAAAAGTTACGAGGATTTCAGAAGTTCCCAAAGTCACTTCGAGAATAAGATAGTTCGGTCATTGGTCATCTTAGCGGGGGCACTACGGTCCCCAGATATTGTCTGACTCTATCCAAGATACAGATAAATAAGAAATGTTTTACGTCCAATGAATGTTGACCCTCAGCGTGAGTCGCAGCGCGTGTCGATGACGGGTCGGTGCATCTTGAGCGTGTTCCTGGTGGTGGTGCTGGTGACCGCGGGGCTGGGCGCGGGCGGCGAGCTGGCCTGGCTCGACTTCCTCTACATCTGCAGTTACATCAAGCTATGCATCACACTCATCAAATATGTCCCACAGGTAATTAATAACTTAAATCAGTTAACGAGATGGTCGGTATGGAATTAAGAAACTGATCCTATACTATCAGAGGGAAATATATTTCTTTCTCAAATTTCATCCAGATCCATTAACCGTGAAATACCACGACCACACAGAAAACAGGCGTCAAGTTAAGGTAACTCTGAGTTTCTTCTGACGAGTGTGCCTTCCGCAGGCTTAATTATGGTCCTCTTTCCCTTCCCACCCCTTTTTCTTATAAGAAAAAGATGGGAATTGGAAGTGGATTTTCCGGATGAGAGGATACATTGGAGGGGAAAACATTCCTATGGATCCCTTCCTCCGAAATTAAAGGTAGTCAACGCATATGCAATTGCGTATGTCCATGGGCAACGGTCGCTTCGTTATTTTAGCAATTTGAGATATAATACTAGCACTTGAATATTTCAGGCGTACATGAACTACAAACGCAAGTCCACCGTCGGCTGGAGCATCGGCAACATCTTCCTGGACTTCGTGGGCGGCTCCCTCTCCATCCTGCAGATGACCCTCAACGCGTACAACTACAACGACTGGATCTCCTTCTTCGGAGACGCGACCAAGTTCGGTCTCGGTCTCTTCAGCCTCATCTTCGATATATTCTTCATGCTGCAGCATTACGTATTTTACAGGTATGTGTTGTGTATTGTAAAGCGCTAGTTATCGTGTTGTTGCATTCACTCTAATTTAATTTATTTTAAAGAATTTATATCTTACTTCTTACTAATATTATGAATTCGAATGTATGTATGGATGTTTTTTAGAAAGTATTTCCAGAATGGTTCAATGAATCTTGATTAAATGTGGCTTAGATGTAGAAAATAGTCTGGATTAACAAATAGGTTACTAATTAAGTTTTTTTTAATTCCGCGTTGACGGAGTCACGGGCATCAGGTAGTTAAAACATATAGCAGTAGTTAATTGATTATTCGAATACATCACTGTTATTTCACGCCTTCGAAAACACTAACGTAGGAAAAAAACACTTTATTTGTGTGAATCGTATCTTGATGGATTGTCGGTGGCTCAGTGGTCAAGCACTTGACTTGCAATCTGCAGGTCCTGGGTTCGAATCCCGCCATGTACCAATGTGTTTTTCCATTTCCGATTTACGTATGTACATTTATCTGATGTTCTTACGATGAAGGAAAACATCGTGATGCAACCTGCACATATCTGAGAATATGTGTGAAGTCAACCAACCCGCACTAGGCCAGCGTGGTTGACTATGGCCTAATCACCCTTAACTTAGGGTAGGCTTCGAGTCCCTCGGTGGGGACGTATAGTGAGCTGATGATGATGATGATGATGATGTATCTTGATAGAGTTATCTTTAACCACATAATAGCATTCATAAATAGTATTGGTTAAATTTATCAATAGTTTAAAATAAACTTTATTGAAACTTCACAATATTTGAATGACGGATAACCAAGTCTTTGTACTTTGTTATATCTACATCTTAATCTAACTTTATCAAGTGTAGTACAAATAGTACTAGTATTATATTTAAAATAATTATTACGATAACAACACGATATCTTGCGCATGTTTGGTTGTCGGTGAATCCTTTATGTGCAACTTTATCTTTGACACTCTAATACTGATTTTCCACTGTCTAAACACATATAAAACATCAGTCATCTCTCTCTTTCTCTTTTTAAATGAGAGACAGCAGACAACAGAGACAACTATATGTTTGAATACAAGTTTTGATAGTGGAATTTCAGCATCTTGCTTCATATCACTATTTCGCACTTTTAACTAATTTAACTCATGGCAATGGCTTTCTAACATTTTTCATTGTTTGTGAAAAAATCGTTCGGTAAATTTTCATAATTGAACTGGGATTTTCAATTGTCCGCCATTATATTCTGTTGAATCTATTATCTGAAGTGTTATTCTGACAAATGAAGTATAAAAGAAATCATCGATAAAAGGTGACTTGACTCAATGAGAATGAAATTCCAGTACAGATAGACTGGAAAAATATATTTTTAGATCAAAAAACTCTGAAAAGTTCAGACAACGTTTGATGTAATTTTACAACGAAAGGAAATACCATCTTCCAAGGAAATATGAACGAATTGAAGATATTCAAGGAAATCCGCTTTCGGGATGGATTGTCAGAGTTGCAGACATCACGGACTTCAAACTGGATGTGGATCTTATATGATTAAAAATGCACTTATGAAAAATTTATAAATATAAACTTAATTTATGAAAAAAATATAATATTATACATTCAAATTATCAGAACAGTGACGACATGTTAGGAAATTCTGTTTGTCTATTAAATAATTGACTATATTAACTTGAGGATTATCATCAGTTATTAATCTGATAAATGTAAAGGATATTGAAAAAGGAAATAATTAAACATTTTCGATCGGATTCGCTATTCATTAAAGGGACGCTTTCATCGCTTTCATTGGGACGCAACAAAATTTCGCGCGCGTGTGGCTTCACAAAATGGCGGACGCTAAACTGACGGGCGCTCAAAATGGCGGCTATAATATATTATAACAAAAATGGTAAAGGAAGCATATTTGTGGTTGATATTTTCAGAGAGGGCCGGGAATTTATCATTGTTGACAGTAGTGATGAAGGTTCAAATATGACATCCAGTGGTGAAGGAAGGGAATACTTTATGGTCAATTTTTGGTATGTATGCTGTAAGAAAAAAAAATAACTACAAGCCTAACTAAATTTATATTATCTAATGCCTTTTTTCTTATCTATCCTTTTACCACTTTTACTAACTTTTATTTTTAATATATTGTACGTTTTTTTTTTGTTATTTGTAAAGTACTCTTTGGGTTTTTGTGCGTCTCTTCAGAAAATAACTTCACGTCTTTCTGTAAATGTACTATTTTAAAATTTATATTTTATACTTTTTGCTTGTGTTTATGTATATTTTTTTAATTGGAATAATTTTAGGAATGCCGATGAAAAGAAATACGATCTGGATGTGAAAGCGTGATGAAGACTGAAGTTTAGCTGTCAGTGTCACAATACTGGGGATCAATGTTGCCTGCCCGCGTCATTGTGACGTTTGAAAAGGCGGGAATTTTCAAAAAAAAAACTCAAAGAAGAGCATAAATAGTTGTGAAAATTTTATAAAAACTGCTGTTTTTAAATTTTATAAAAACCTTTTTATAAAGCATTCCAAGATAAGAAACAGAATTCAGAAATGCCAATTTTTTTAAGTTTTTTTTTTACAAAATTATACTTTTTTAAATTTAGAAGGAATTATTTTCAAAAGCATTTAATAATGTTGCGCCGGGTATTGCATGCCAGTATCATCTTGTGTTTAGGTTGACAGCTAGCAATAATTTTTAATTTAATTTAGGTAATTAGTTGTAAAGGGACTCGCCATTTATTTATTTATACAGAACTGATCCCACCCAATATTACTAATATATTTATTATATATGCGATTTAAAGGAAACATTGAATTGAAAACAAATACGTTGAAATATTTTATATCATCTGTTGGGATTGTAAAATGTTGATTTGAAATTTCGTTTATCTGTTTAATATTTATTGTTATTAAATGACATAGTCATTATAAAACTGATGAACTGTGATGAAATGACACATTTTATATTAAAATGTGTATAAATTTATCACTGACTTTTGATTTTGATCCTTTACCTTAAACAAAATTTTACGAACCATATTATAAATCTCGTGTTAGTAGGGTATTCAAACTATTAAATATTTTTTGTATTTATGTTGTCAAATATCTTAGTGGCTCGGAACATCGTATGAGTCATTGCACGGAACACAATGTTAGATATAGCGAGGTGTACATGCGTGCGGGGGGAGGACACCGCACAGCGCACATCTGACCTTGAGCGGACAAGATATTTGAAAAGATGTATACTAAAAGTTTTACTTACTTTTAAACGATCAGTATTTTTTCGAATATTTTTTGTACCTCATAAAAAGTACATCGAGCATACTTCAAAGAAACATAAATTATTATATAACTTATTAAGATTTTCCAACCGTTAAAAACGATTATATCTTATACAAGACCAAGTTAATAAATAGGCGATATAGTTATAAGTTTAACAATAATAATTTTTAGTTTAATTTATGATTATGTTTTCTTTGAGAACCAATAAATTTATATTGATTTTGCTGTGTTTTCTTTACATTCCTATGCCATGTTGTTTTTAAATATCAATATCCTGCAAGATCCGTAGACCAGAGATTTTCAAACTTCTTTGAAGAATGTGTTACTTTTTCTTCAACTTTAACAGTGGATTTCAGAGGTTCCACCTGCACCCATTTGGGAATCACTGGTCTTGACATAAATACAAATTTATCTTAATGGCGATAGGCTTTTCTGACTTCATTTAGTAACAATAGAATAATTAAAATCAGGTTATTACTTTAGAACGAAACTTTTTAGATTGCTTAACGAGAACGCAATGGACGATGACGAAGATGCAGACTTACCACTTGATAAAAAGGCGAGTCTAAAGTGGTTACAATAAAATTATCAAGTAATTGGTAGAGTATTATAATATTTAATTATTTCGTTTATAACAAAACAAAGACTGGTAAAGTATTTAATATATGACATCAGAGTAATCAGTGGATAATTAAAAAAAAAATCTAGATTTGAAGTAGACATATGTAGGTAAAGATAGAAAAAGACTAACTCCTTTACTACGAACTAAGCTTACAATGCTTTTCTCATCACTGTCTTTCATCTTTGACAAAACAGAGATAGCAATACGTTTGAATTCAGAAACCCACGGTTCGGCTTCAAGAAGTTTTCGGTCTCTCTCGCTCTCTCACTGCGATCTATCGTATTTTCGTCTCATCGACGAATGAGAGCCTTGGGTAACTCGATCGAGTCATTAAGTAGTCTGTCTCACTCGCTCATTAGGGCCGTATCTGCCTCTCACACAACAAAGAGAATTAACCAGTACCTGAAGATCTTGATTTGGTTGTACATTATTCTCTTGCTTACTTACAAAGACAGAGAAGTCTTGACGAAGAAAGAGAACTACTGCGAATCTAATACTTGAGTTCCTGTCGTGTAAAATACTTTTAGTTTAGAATATATTTTCTTCTTCCTATTTGACTTAATTTTAGTAAATTGTTGTAAATAATTGTTTTGATTGTATGAAGTTGCATTTGCAATTTTCAAATTAGGTTATATTTATTTGAGTATTCCTAATTAATTAGTAAAGTATGTAAATAATTAGTGTTAAAAAAACATACAAACGAATTATAATCTTAGTTAGCGAATCAGAATTAGGTAAATATACTATAATGTTAAAATATAAATAAAGCAGACAGATTGAATGCAGAAGCTTGGACCAATTGTATTAGTAAAAATATAACCAAATCCCTCTTTTTATATCGTATATAATTGACTAAGTACCAACGAGCTACTGAGATATCCCAATAAAGCTAGGATATTCGATGTCTCGTAGTTCACTGATATATTTTATATTAATATACAAAAATGTGTCAAAATCCATAATATCGTATCCATTTGGGTTATTATGTTTTCGGTTCATTTTTAATTAGATTATTTGTTTTTATTGTTTCAGGCAGTCGACTTACATCTCGCTGGCCGGCTCAACCTCTTCACAAGAAGAGTTTAGTGGCCAACAGTCAGGGCTGCCAACATCGCGAAATTTAAATCAGCAAATATAATTCATCGTTAACGAATGATATTAAGAAACAATTATAGAATAAATTCCATGATAAATTAGCAAGACATCGGGTAAAATAATTTTAAGGCAGTTGGAGTTTATAAAATACGACTTCGCTTAGGAAGAGAAATTCGCCGCCGTAACTAAACTTTTGTTTAAAAAGAACTGTCAAAACTTCAGTTGATTCGTTCTTTTTTAAAATTTAGAAATGACAAATTTAGAATCTCAAACGAACGCATTAATTGGAGAATATCCATAACAAGAAGAGAAATCCCGTGTTAAAGTGCCTAATAACTTTATATTCAAGTGCATTGTGAACGTGAGAAATCTTTTTGTTTTATAAAAGTGATAAAAAGCAATAACTCGAAGACTGAAAACAGTGATATCGTGACAATAAAAGATTCAATGAACTCTCTGATGAATACATTGCGAAGAAGTCTTACTTATCGTGGGTTTCTGAGACCATAAGCTTAAAACATACATACAAACATCTCTGTTTTGATATATTGGTCTCAGAAACCAACGGTTAGAAATAAGTGAGAAATTAGTATAGTCATTTTATTAATAGTAATCAAAATATTATTGTATTTTTTAGGTGTAAGGTTTAAAGCTTGTTTTAGATCTAGTATAATCCAATAGCTTTATATAGACAAATATTTAGTAAAAATATAATCAAATGTACGATAATATTACCAAAAGTAGCATTTTTAATAGAAGGTATTATAGAAAAAGTTGGGGAAGAAAAGAAAAAAATGTAGTCTTTTCTATGCTTTTCTATGATAGAAAATCAAAAGATGTGATTGGTTTAAAATTAAATCAAGCTCTCATTTATTTGGAGGAGTGACAGATCCCACAAGGGTCCGTTTATGTACAGAACAGGGATAAGAATCGGACCGAGATAATTTTATCGCTTACAGAGTTGCTTACTAAACCAAGTTTCTCGCTTATGGAGTTATTTCGTCGGCACCGTATGATAACTCGCTTATCCAGTCCTCACTTATCCAGGTTCAACTATATTTCTTTACGCTTATTTCTTACTAGATAAATAAAATCACGTGCGCTGCTACTGTGCCTCAAATAATAGACATTTCTAGATCTCAAAGGTTTTGGGGTTAACGAGTACAAGTATTAAATAAATAAGAGAGATCATCTTTTATACCGTGGATTTTTACTGCAGAAACACCTGTTTTAAAGGGAATAAGAACCGATTACGTTTTTTGTGACACGTGTTTCGAAAGTGGAAACTCAAGGTCATTTATGTAACCGGATATAACTATGAAATCAATATACCGGTAATTTTTAAATTATAATTCAATCATATTTTTTAATCCGTGATATATTTTATTTACGTACAAATAATATTAACTATTTTATTAAATGTGTAACTATTGTATTAATTTAGTATTAAACAACATATACCTCAGTAATTGCTTTTAATATTATTTTAGTAAAAAAAAATAAAGAAAAAAAAACGTATACTTTTATCGCATTTTTAAGAAAGCTGTTTTTTGATTAAGGCGCTATGTATATTTATCCTAGCTTTTTACGGTCGAAAAAATTAAGAAGAAATTAAAGTTGTGTGGAATCAAGCTCCTTTAACTTAGGGTAGACTCGGAGTCCCTCAGTGGAGACGTATAGCCAAGGGTTAAGCAATAAGTACTGGATTATGGTTGAAAGAGGCCTAAGTCACCCTTAACATGGTGTAGGCTTGAGTCTTATATGAGCTAAAGACATCAAACAATTTATTTTTTAAAGTAAAGATCCAGTTTGTCGTATTTAAATGCGAATAACCTTCATATCAGAGTCTGATAATTTGCTATAATATTGTGTTTTGGTTTATTAACCTCTACAACATTTATCATATACAATAGTAAACATGATGAACGTAATATCTCTCCTATATATAGTTTCAATTGAACACTCGTGACATAAACAATACAATGTTTATTGCATTATATGTACCTATACTTTGATATAAGCCCAGATGACATTGCTATAAAAGATGGTCCTTATGAGTCGGATAAAATGTATCCGTTTTATAACTACCCTTCATTTTTAGTTGTCAATCTAATACTACTTTGAATGTGGGTACTTTTAATGCTATTGATATTATTGAAAGTCGTGTAGTTGATAAAGGTCTACTTGCGTTTTGATCTTTTGTTTGAACTTATATTTGGTTTGAAAGATATATGTGTACGTCTAATTTCTGTACTATACGTTTCTATCTTTAATTGCTTGTCTATTTATCTAATTGGTAGTTATAAGTTCTAGATATACGATTGTTTATCGTATATCAAATGAATTAACTAATATTTATATGTAACAAGTGTCATAATTATTATTGAAATCTATTAATCCATTGCTTATCATGTAATATTACGTTGTACTAAAATTTATAACCAATAAAATATAACTAATAACGTCGGTTATATACCCCGCTATGTACCAATGTGTTTTTCGATTTCCGATTTACATATGTACATTTATCCGACGTTCTTACGGTGAAGGAAAACATCGTGATGCAACCTGCACATATCTGAGAAGAAATTCAAAGATATGTGTGAAGTCAACCAACCCGCACTTGGCCAGCGTGGTGGCTATGGCCTAATCACCCTTAACTTGGGTAGGTTCCGAGCCCCTCGGTGGGGACGTATAGTGAGCAGATGATGATGGACGTCGGTTACCTATAAAATCGATATAGCTTAATCATACTTCTTACTAATATTACAAAATGCGAATGTTTTGATGTATGGATGCATGAATGTTTGTTTGAGGAAGGAAGGTACCTTCGGAACGACTTAACGGATCTCTTTGAAATATAGAACACAATCTGGAAGAACACATAGGTTACTTATTGTTTTTTTTTTTAATTCGGCGAAGACGAAGTCGCCGGTGACAGCTAGTTTAATATAATTTTACTTTGTTACTGAACTACGTGTATATTTTAATAATTCTCAAGTTATTGCAACCCAACGGGGAAAAGAGGGTATCATAGAGTTCTGAAAGTTATAGAGAGATATCAACGTCAATTCCTCCTCTTATAAGTATCAAGGTTATTTCATTGCGAAATAATTACGTAAAATGAATACGATAGTGACTGCGTAGACATATGTTTGAACAATACAGAGCCGAGATAAAGCGAACATGATTCAGCTCACAGTGCGCTCATGTGACCGTGGTGTTTTATTATTATTTGTAGTCAATGCATTATCGCAACATCCCATGTTATAATTGTATCAATGACTTTATTTACGCTTATTATTTTAATGAACCATATACGAAATGTTTCTGTTTGTTCAACTTGAAAGTTTTGCAGATTTTAATTGTTGATTCTTATAAAATACTAGCTGTCGCGCGCGACTCCGTTCGCGCGGGATTAAAAATAGATGTTGGTCGATTCTCAGACCTACTCAATATGCTCATAAAATTTCATGAGAATCGATCAAGCCGTTTCGGAGGAGTATGGGAACGAAAATTGTGACACGAAAATGTTATATATAAGATTTGTTTTGTCTAAACAAACAAAAGGATTTGCGGAAGTATTATGTGTTTTGATTATTTAAATTTCCTTTTCTGATAAAATTCTCGAATTATTTTTATTGTGTTACGTCAAAAATATCTTATAATTTGTATTGAAATGTACATTTTTACTATATTTAATTACATACCTCGACAATTCTATTAAACTAGGTAATAAATGTAAATAATAAAATCCTATAATGTTTTATATAAAAGGTTTATTACTATTCTTTATAGTTTTATGGCTATTAAGTCTTACTTATATTGTAAATGCGAATGTTTTTTTTTTATATCATAAGGTGGCAAACGAGCGAGCGACCACCTGAAGTCGCTAAAATAGCTAAGTGACCGTTGCCCATAGACATACGCAATTGCATATGCGTTGCCTACATTTAATCGACGGAGGAGAGGATGCACAGAAAGAAAAGATCTTCCCTTCCCATGCATCCTCTCATCCGGAAAGTCCACTTCCACTTCCCATCCTTTCCTTATGAGAAAAAGGGTGGGAGGGGAAAGAAGACTAAATTAGGCCTCCGGGACGCACACTCATCAAACGAAACGCGGAATTGCTTCCACTTCACGCCTGTCTTCTGTGTGGTCGTGGTATTTCACCGGGCGAGCCGGGCCGATTCGAAAATGTTTGGATGGATGAATGTTTATTTTGCTTAAAATGCTCTTGTATAAATGTTTCGTCAGTGGAAACACAAGGTAATAATGTTCCATTATCTTATATTATCTTTCAAAGTAACTGCATGGGGCAAACGCGTGAAATGACGCATTAGAGTGGTTTTTTTATCTGATAAAAGGAATTAGTTTCGTTGAATGATTTAAAGTATTAGAGAAGAAAGAAATTGTTTTTAATTGTTTACATAATTTAATCATTACAGCAATAGATCTGTTTGATTTTTACGTAGTGTATTGACCGTGATAACACAGTTTTGGTGCAATCTTTGATAAATATTTCGAATATTTTTTTTTATAACATAAGGTGGCAAACGAGCGAGCGGCGACCTGAAATAGTGAAGTAACCGTTGCCCATAGACATACGCAATTGCATATGCGTTGCCTACCTTTAATCGACAGAGGAGAGGATGCACAGAGAGGAAAAATTTTCTCTTCCCATGCTCCTCTCATCCGGAAAGTCCACTTCCTCTTCCCATCCTTCCGTTATAAGCAAAAGGGTGGGAAGGGAAAGAGGACTAAATTAGGCCTCCGGGACGCACACTCATCAGACGAAACGCGGCATTGCTTCCACTTGACGCCTGTCTTATGTGTGGTCGTGGTATTTCACCGGGCGAGCCGGGCCGATTCGTGCGAAGATGTTGAAGCGGGCTCTACCACTGTTAGTTAGTTAATATCCTTATACAAATAATTCATTCAACTAAGAAAAAGTAATGTTACTTATTACGATTTGATAGTATTTTCTTTACGGATGCAGCTGTACAAATAAATTGGTTTTAATGGTATTTTATATGTAGATTTTCTAATTATTCTTTCGTTCTGAAATTCTTATCTTACTAATAATATAAATGGGAATGTTTGGATGGATAGATTGTTTGTAGGTATCTCCAGAACAGATACATGGATCTCGGTAAAATTTGGCATAGCTTGTAAGAACACAAAGGCTACCTATAAAAGTTTTTTAAATTTTACGCAGATGGAGTCGCGACAACAGCCAGTTAGATATACAAATAAATTATTAGTTTTCATTTGACATTTTTTTTTCTGGATAAAACTTTTATTGCATTTTTACTAGATGTAACATTTCATATTAATGTTTATTAGTAATTAAATATTCAGGCCAAGTTCTCCAGACATAGGGGAAAAAGTGCTGAGGGTCTCGGCCTTGGTGTTGACTTCGCAAACACGATCAGTTCTCACGTCAGTCTGCGTTATCGTTCGCGGAAAATATCGTAGAAAATCATTAAATTTCCACTAACAGACTATTCCTATACTTGTATTAAAACGAAATTAAAAATTAAACAAAAATTTTATTATCCCTGCTCTAGTTTTATTAAGTAAAAAGTAACTTTTTTGAAAATGTGAGCAAAGTTTCATGAAGATGTAGACAGTTCGCGGGAAAACTTAGCAATTAAACAATTATAATTTATCGTTTGAATTCTATATCTATTTCGAGTGAATTCAATTATAACAAAACAAATTCTTTTGGAAAAATAACTCGGAACATTAAGACCGTATCAACATAACATTAATGTAGCATTTTTACAATTTAATTATGTTTTAAGAATATATCGTGAAGTTTTTCAAGCTAGAAAAATTATCACGGCTAAAAATAATAAACAAATATAAATTCGTGAAATCATGTTTTGCCAATTTTATTATAATTTTCGTCGCATTTGCTATAATTTTCGTTTATTAGTCTTGCACGAGTTAAATATATCGACACTTAGAAATGATCTACGTAAAATATTGTATATAGGATAGATACCAGCCAGCAATAAAATTATCTAACCGTTGTTAAGATTAAAAAGAAACATCTTTTTAATTAAAAACATCGATTAAAATCGGAAACTGTTATTTGTTTATCGATTTAAATAGACCAAATGTTCTGTATTTAAAAATTAAAAGAGGAAATAAAATTCGTGATTATTTCAATATCACTCGTGACTTAAATCTGGTCTAGAATATGAAAATAAAGAAGTGGCCTAAGACGGTAATTTCTTGCGGATACGTAATTATTGCGGCGCAAAGAATACATGATCACTTCCATAAAATTTAAATCAGGTGGCAATCAAGTCACATGCCTCTTGCTATCAGAATATTTAACTATTACATAAAACGTTTGACAATTTCATTCAATTATACGCATTTTGAAGCGTAAAAATTATGTAGAATAGTGAAATATATATTTTATTGCGTTTAATAAAATAAAGCCGAACGTGGATTCTCGAGAGTTTAAATGACCACGATGTTTTTCTCGCTTCTAGAGGTTTCTTTCTTACCTGAGTTTCTCGGTTAAGGTCCTCCATCGGGACCTGACGTTCTTATTTATCCACGTTCGACTGTACGGGTGACGTTTATTGTATATTTGGAATAAAAAAAACTTAGTAAGTAACCTATGTTTCCTCCAAGAATATGCTCTACATCTATGTTATACCTTCTTACAAATAACCATCTTTCCATCCATGTAAATATACGCATTTTTAATATTAGTAAGGGTAGTCATTTAAAAAGGTAAATATTTGTATCTGGCACATCATAAAGTGGCCAATTCTAAAATCTATTCACGACATATCTAATAATTAAAATTGTAACCAATAGGTATATAAACTAACAACTTTATACTTTTGTTTTAAATAGATACGGCGATATTCGATTTCGTAATTAGGACAACGGCCGCATTTCGTTAATATTCTTATTTCGTTTGGATTTATTTTTAAAATGTTTTATTTCAACCAAGCATTTATAGTTGCCAATGCTGACTTGGATTCTATAAACTATGGCTTAAGTGCATTCGCAATATCAATATGCAATACTAGCTGTCGTCCACGACTCCGTCCGCGCGGGATGAAAAAAAAAACTTAATTTGTAGCCTATGTGTTCTTCCAGACTGTATTACATCTATGCCAAATTTCAGCGTGATCTATGCAGCCGTTCTGAAAATACTTTCAAACAAACATCCATCTAAACATTCGCATTTATAATACTACTATGGTTATTAAGATAGGCAATATTCATCCATCTCCTTTATGTATCTTGTTTATTGTAACTACATCGTCGTGTGCCGAAATTTGACTAAATATTTTTTGTTTTTGAACTTTACACGTACTTTTTAGAGAACTTTTAACCAAAATACCTATATGGTAATTATTAAAATTTTAAATAAAAGGTTAAATATGTAAATGTAAGTACAATGTGAACACACCTGATTGTTTTAAATTTTAAATTAAGCCCAACATTATCGCAAATATATAATATATTTACCTATCTAACCGTGGTTTCTGAGAACAAAATTTTTGAATAAAAACATATCGTCATCTCTATCATTATCTATGATAAAATAGAGACAACAATATGTCTTTAACGGGGATTATGATCATAGAAACCCACGGGAAGTCATGGTAAAAGGGGAGATTGTTTAATACGAAATATACAACTTAAAACTCAAAAACACGAAAAATCTATTATTATGGAACACAGGTAGACCTTTAAACTGTAGATTGTTAGGAAAATCATCGTTAAAAAACAATTACATTAATTCTAGATATAATAAGAGTTTTAGACACTAAAACTTTTTAATCCGTATATAACAAAGGCTGCAAAAACCAAGTAAAGGATACTTTTAAATACGTTATTGAATTTGAAGACGAACTATTGTCATATTTTTGAAACTACATAATTGATATATACGTTGCTTCAGTTATTACCGTTGAATAAAAGAAAATCCTGAAAATACGTGTGCCGTGAGTTTGCGCGGGAATATGTCCATATATGCTAGCGACATTAATTTCGCGCCAGTCCAAGACTTCCCGCAATAAGCGGTTGACGCGTCGTTTTTTAAATGCGTGCTCTTTCACGCAAAAATAATATTTTATTTTCATTATTTTAAATATGCATATAATGTGATAAATATTAGATAGAATAATCAAATTCCTGTGATATTGTGAAGAACTTTAAGTGTATTTAGAAAAATGTCGGAAGAAAAGTAAGTATTTTTTAATTATTTCATGTTCCTTACTTTTAAAACTTTTTTTTAAGTAATTAAGTTTTCAAAATGTGTGTTTAACAGTAAAAATTCTAATCCTTTTTAATAATAGAACTAAGTGACGTGTTCTTAATTTTATGTAATTTACCTTTTGTTATGTAAATTAATTTTTATCTATGCTCGTGCCATCTCTATTGTTTATATTAACATTACGATTAGAAAACATATTGGACCATTTTTAACGTAAATATTTTGTAATCACCTTCTGGCCTAGTAACTATTTATTATTTACAATATATTAACGTCTAATTTAATAGGTTAGAATTTTATTACACATATAAGTTTCGTCAACAAATATAATTTGTTAAAATATTTTCGTTCAAAGATATAGTAAAAATGTTATTAAAACGAACCCAATGAAATAAGTTAAAAATGCGTATAACTAGATTTTAATAATGTTAGTTAAGGTGTTATTATTATTTATACGTTAATAGCGCATATAGAAAAGGAAAGAATAGTTTCCACATGATAAGCAAAACATCGTTAATATTTGCACAGGATCGATGACCTGTCTAATTTTGGTGAAAGTAACACAAATACAATTTTAATATAATACCATTCACGTTTCTATGTTTCCACTAAACAATATAATCGTTCTAAATTGGAAATAACAATTATAAAAAAAAATAATCGAAGAAATCAATAATCATTAATAGAAATTATTCATTAATAGAAGAAAGAAATGGTCTGTCAGTACCGCGCCAAATGGAGGTCCGTGGTCTCTGCCTACCTCTGAGTTACGGGCGTGAGTTATGTTGTGTTTGTTGGTTTTTGAGCGACCTAATTTCTTCCAATATAATTAACCGATTTTAAATAGACATTAACAGTGTTTTTAATTACTCTATTACCATTGATAAGTAACGTAGAGACAATGTTAATGTCAACACCAAAAGTGGTGTTATCCACTTTTTTCATAAAATTCGGGGTTACTTTTCGGTTAATAGTATTATGGATTCAAGGTTGTTTTCATAAGTTTTCCACTAGAGGAGGAAGAAAACAAAAGTATTTCTTCGATGTTTATGGTCTTACAAACTGTTTAAATTGTACTGTAAAATAAATTAGATTTTTACTATTGTTAAATCAATTCTGTAAACGTGATATTGAAATTCTGAAGGAAATACGTTCTACTACCGAAAAATTCATATAAAATGTTGTTATCTCTCTCGTTTTCGTTGCAAAACATTGAGACAATAGCGGGTTATTCTGTGACATGTGCAAATGAATACTTTTGTGTCCATTCAAAGTAGCCAAGTTAAAACAAAGCGTTACGTAAGAATAATCATTGTTAATCAACAAAAGGAATACAAAAAAACCTTGACGCCCTATAATGTAAAGAGTATTTGCAAATGAAGACGTCACAGGAACACACAAGGAATTCCATTATATGGCTGATAAACCATAAGTTTTAGAACCTACATTAAAAGTAACGTTTTACAAGAACACATAGGACAGCTTAGGTTACATACGCGCTATTTATGGTACATTATTTAAAAATGTGCCTAGTTTATTTTAGCCGATTTTTGCAAAGAATTAAACGTATACTTTACTCTCTGTTAGTACCTGAAAGTGCAACTACAAAACTATCTTTTACTTATTTAACTCAAATACGCATCCTGTACCAAACCGTATTAAATATCTTACACGTGGTTAGAGAAATTACATATTATAACGGAAATATATTTCCTTTGCCCTCAAAAAATTCTACGATGAAATGAAATCTATTAAACGTGATTCCATAACAACAAATATGGAGCTTTGGAATTGAAGCAATAAAGCACTTCTATCATTTGCTTATGGTTGTAAATTGCCTGACTATATCTCTTCATAACAGAAGCAGCGTTTGTTATCCAGCGACATCCTCACTTATCTATATTTACGCTTTTTTTATACTCGCCAGTTATTTCGCATCCCAAATGTAGTGGTTATCAGAAAAATGGTCAATATTTATCAATTTAACGCATTAGGAGTCATTGATAACGCATTGAATTTAGTTCTTTAAATTCAGTCAAGTTGTTTAGACTAATAAAGTAGACACAACCTCCAAAATCTTTCTTCATCAGTTGATAGACGAAGTTCCAATAGCCAAACTATTGGAACTTAAGGGTACGGACGAGAAGTTCGAATCTTGACCTGGCCTAGCAAAACCAATAGCTTAGTTTTTTACAAGAAACATCAGTAAATTTCAATATACCTGAATAAATAAAAAAGGGATGGACAAAAGGCTTCCGAATATACGTTCGTCCTCTTATCCATGATTGGATTAGAATTGGCTTGTATTTAAAATGTATTGTTCTGTATACCTAAGTTTAGTGGTGGTAACAAAAGTCGGTGTCATTTTTCCAAAAACTGCACAATTTAGTAACAAAAACTGGTACTGAATGCCAAGTGTACAGTGACATAAAGCGTTAGTAACACGGTGACAAGGTGAAGGCGTCTGGCAAGGCTCCAACATCTTTCATATGCAGCCACACTCCGACTGCGTGCAACGGTTATTGACTTGTTTGGTTTGTTCAGCTTCTATTTATAAACAATACCTCAAGATAAGGAAAAGTTAATAATTTAATACACAAGAAACCCGAGTACAACCCTGTAACACTTTAGAAAAAATACAAATTTAATGAAAGCGATAAAATCAATGGAATAGGTAACACAGATCAGAAGAGAACGTGCATATCGTGCTTAAATTCCTTCTAAAACATTGCTCTCCTGTAAGTCCTTCAAGAAGCGAGCTTATCACCGTCTCAAAGGCCGGCAACGCATCTGCGGTTCTTCTGCTTTTGTTGATGTCCATGGGCGTCGTTGAACATCTCGATGTTCCCGCTGCTCGTTTGCCCCCTTCTGTTATAAAAAAAGTCGGAAAAATTGCCTCTAGTTTGAGACATGCAAAATAATCATTTCATCATCGATATTTGCCTGGACTGGAAAATATTTATTTTAAGTTGTTTTCCGAAAATAAGTATAAACAATTGCCAAAAGAGATGTCACGATATTTCTTCTAAAAACAAATAACAATATAGATTTCAATGCTAATGGAATAACGTTTGCTAGTTTCGGTTACATAAGTATGTACTAATTGCCATAATTTGGCAGTATCATAACTGTTTTGATTTTCATAACTCCCGCCAAAATTGGAAATCATCGACTTCTATTTTTGGAATCAAAGTTTGTCAATAAGAAAGTATATTGAGTCAGATTTTATTTTATAATTAACTATACTATTAGAATTACTTTATTAATATTTCTGTAATCGTATGTGGCCACAAAAAATATTACCAGTTACGTCTATGTTCTCTCATTTAAGCGGAAAATGGTCACTAACAAAAGACAAATAGCATATAATCACAAATAACAAAAGAAATGCAAAATAACTTATTCATAACTACTTTTCCATTTAACTTTGTATGATCTTCGTGACTTAATAATTATTTTCAACGGCTCCAAGTCCACTGAATAAAGATTTTCTTAAATAGATAAATAACTGCATCCTGCAGTAACTATCTTATCCTTTACTTTAGGGTACTTTTTGTCTTAATTTTGAACGAAGTAACGTGTACGTAATGATTGTATTCGAATCATCTTGATTCCGTCGAATTGTGTACGTCAAACTGTAATCAATTACCTCATTGTTAGCGGGGACGGTCTAATTATCTATGTTCTTGTCACAGCGGACCAGTCCAAACTTCTCTGACGGGAAGTTGAATGAGGATTACGTCAAAGGTACAAAGTCCCAATAATTCGTGCCAAGTACTTTTAACGAGAGAGAATTTTTAGGATATTTCCAACATATTTATATCGATCACTTCATTGTCGCGTTCAGTTTTCGACATCCCGAATTGGCGTGTTTCACGTGACCTGTCATTTTTTGTAGATTTTTTGTTTGTTTTTCTTGTCGAGAAAAAGAAAACATATTTATGTTTTTGTACAATTCTAAAGAAACGGTCATTTAAGAAAGAAAAGACTGATGATTTTTGTTTTTAAAATGTTGCCAGTATTTCAAAAATAAATCAAAAGTTATTGGCTGTATTTTTAAAAGGGACAAATTATCCACAATTAGGTAGTTAATACAATAATAAGGTGAATCGTCAGAACCGAATTACGTTTGAAATATGTGATATATTCACTCGCACGGTGTCTTTGACGATAAATTTACACTAATCTATAATTATTTATGTATAATTTACGATGTCTTTGAAACATTAATCTAGTCTATGGAGGTAGTAATCTTTATTTCTTTACGTGCCTTAATAAGGGAGTATACCATCATAGTAAGTCTGTACCCGTTAAATGCTATGACTGTACCAAAAAATTGATAAACCTAACATCACAAAACCCTATCATAATCGTGAACATTCGTTTGGCACATTGATAACATTAATTACTTTTAATTATAAAGCTGTTTTATTGTCTGCTATATTTACAATTACATAATTAATAACGTCTGTCTCGTTTACCATAAAGCACTGCTCTCTCTGCCAACATTTCGCAGTTTGCTATAAATATTTGCGTCTACGGATACGATGCAATCTGGATACTTTTAGATAATTCTGCATTTAATAGTGACATCTTTCGAAACGTAATCGAAATCCAAAGAAGTTAGAGATTATGTTATACGTATTTTTTTACATTGTCTCAAAATACCATTTGCTTAGAAATCGCTGTAGCCACTTGTATAACCAGTAATTTAAATGTGTTCGTCGTTTCATACGAACCGTTTGAATTTGTTAACACATTGTTCAACTTAACAGCCTTTATAGTGTTACTTTACATAAGAATTTATTTTTACTTGGATTTTTCATATATTTCAAACATGTTTACTAGACGAAAGGGTTATATGGGAAGCACAAAATGCAATGTTAACCTAGTCAAAGATGTTAATTTTACATATAAAAATTGCATTAAGATGGAAACCACACGTCACACGCTGCAGCTGCGTGCACAGACCATGTGGGTTCTCTTTTATCTTTATTATAATAAATAATGCCGCATAATGCAAGTGACAATTGATGAAGTTGTCACTTATCACGTCGACAACATCAATGGAACACGTCGCGGGCTTATGATTTGGAGTACTGTCACAGATAATAAAGGGATCAGGGATCAGTTAAGAGGTTAACAAATTCGATATTTGTTTTTATGACTATTATCTTACCGATACAGAGATCTGATAAGATACACTAATCGCCGTATTATTGTGTAAGTACAAATGTAAATATTAGATGCAATAAAAGAGAACAAAGAAATTGTCGTATGCTTTTGATAAAGTCATTTTATTTTTTATATAATTAACATCAAAGTCTGCTTCACTTAATGGAATCTAGCTATATAGAAACTTACATGTTTGTAAGTTTGTATGTTCGTATAACATGTCGAGTTGAACAAGTTTTATGTTAGAAACATCAGGGTAATCACGTGATAGAATTTTAATAGAAATATACCTTTAGAGTAGGCTTTATATACCAAGAATAGACATATATTCACAGTAATATAAAAGAAACCAGTTGAAACTAGATAATTATTACTAATATATTAATATAAACATAAATGAATTAATATCAATAGTTTAACCAGTTTCTACCGATATATTTATAGCTTGAGTGTATTATTATTTAGTTTTTGCATAAAATTCTTCAACTAATAAATATTTACTAACATTTATTACAATACTGACTGTTCCCCGTCCTCCGTCCGTCCGACTCCGTCCGTGTACAAATAAATCCAAACCTAATAAATAGCCTTTGTGTTCTTCTAGACTATGCTCTATATCTATGCCAAATTTCAGCAAAATCCGTACAGCCATTCCGGAGATACCTTCAAACAAACATCCATCCATCTAAACATTCGCATTTATAATATTAGTAAGATTTATACCCTTCATAAATGGTTTTATGTTTATTTATAAGCCAGTTATTTTATAATATTTTGCGTAAAAAATAAGTTGGATAATAAAATAAAAAATATAGCAATTAAGCATAGCATAATCGTATAATAGATTTATTAAACGCTTATAAAATTAATGCAAGTAAACAATACAATAAAATACTTTTTAATTATAAATTTAATGTATGAGTAAACTTATTCCATACAGATGAGAGTTAACAACAGATTCCGTAGTATGAATGTGGAAGAAGTGTGTCAAAATCGTGCCAAATGGCAATCTTTTCCTACTTGTCTGGGTTAAGGGGTATCATGGTTATAACTCACGAACACGTGGCATTTTAAGTGACATCATGGCTTTTATAAATTTATTTTCAGTGTCGTCATGTGAATGATGAAAAATACGTGACGACCACAATAAATAAATTTATGACGATATTAACATTTTACTGCATTTCTAAAAAGAAAACCTTCATATTTGTGGTTAAAACTAGAATAGAGAGATATTTAGCGAATGGGACGATTGCTTTAAATATGATGGATGGTTGTCATCTAGTAAGTTTGCATCTCCTTATATTTGTCTTTTGAACTTATTGCTTCCGTCTCTGATAGATCCTTTGACATAGTTATGTAGCAATTTTATAAAATTAACAAGTAAATTCGAGTGAATCCAATAATATTGGACAAAATACGCAACGAATGATATCTCAGTCTTCAAAATTGAATAAGCAGTTGTAGGTATAGAAGATTCGTGGCCTAAAATATTTCTATCCAGTCCGGTTTTGAATTCATATGGCTGCATAATTCTCGATGAAATTTGGTAAAGATTCATAACACAGTCTGTAAGAACAATTCCCGTGGCATACGTTTGGTTTACATATTGACTCGATAACTTTGCAACAGTTTAACAAATCTAATTGAAATTTGGTACAGATATAGAACATAGTCTCGAGTAACGCGTAATTTTCACCTTTTTTTAAATTCTGCACAGACGAAGTAGTGGGTAAAATCTAGTGTTAACATCATCTAAATTGCCCACTTAACTCCATCGTGCTGCTGTTTTGTTTACAAATGTCTGAGTACAAATCGGTCATTAGCATTATCGAGCCTTGAACATTATGTTGTTTATTAGCGATTTTGTATTGATAATAGTTCGTTTCACCGATATGCCTGTATTTTAAATTAAACGTTTTGTAAACCAATTCGAATCTAATCTTGTTACTACACTGTATATCAATAACACTAATAATTAATAATGATTGTTATTTTTTAAACAATCGAAACTATCTTAAACGATCATGTTAAAACTAAAGTGACGAAAACTAGACTTTATTAATACAGGTACCATATCATCGTCATCAGCTCACTATATGTCCCCACCGAGGGGCCTACCGAAGCTCTGAGCCTACCCTAAGATAGGGGTAACTAGGCCATAGTCAATCACGCTGGCCAAGTGAGGGTTGATTGACTTCACACATATCTTTGAATTTCTTCTCAGATATATGCAGGTTGCATCACGATGTTTTCCTTCACCGTAAGAACGTCGGATAAATTTACATATGTTAATCGAAAAACACATCGGTATTCGATTCGAATCCAAGACCTGCAGATTCCAAGTCAAGTGCTTGACTCCTGAGCCACCGACGCTCCAGGTATCATATACTTTACTCAATTTATAACAGATGTCTTTTGAATTTTGTAAACTCTACTTCGAACCTTGGTTAAAATTACTATTATACTTCTCTTTTAATATCATTTAACTCGTACATCAGCAGTCGCACGAGACATCCACATTACCTATCTTCCACATACACTTTCATTATTCACAACTAAAAGTATTAATTAACGTTATCACAGGACGCAGAGTGACTGCACGTAATTACTATCTTGTTTACTGTCCACTTAGTGCGCGTTAATTGTAGTCATGAAACAATTACCTACAAAATAAAACCAAAAATCCTACATTTTCATTAAAATGAATATTCGTTTGTTTTTATTGCTTACTTCACATTCATTTATTCGTATATAAGAACATATGTTTACTGATAAAAGAGTTTAACCAGTTTTTATGTTAATATGCCATGATACATAGGTATCATCATAATTAACCTAAACTAAGTTAGATATGTCTAGGTCATAGTCATCTTTATTGCAACGAGATGCTTTGTAAATCGAAAAACAGTACATGGCGAGACTCAAATCCGAGACATGCAAATTACTAGTGTTTAACCTCTAAGCTTACGACGCTCCTCTTGTCGATTTTGATATTTGAGATGTCACTCGATTTATTCATCTCCGGAGTATTTTAGAAGTCAGTAGTGACAGCGGATCATGTTATTTTTTAAAATATATTAACTGCAATTTACTTTTTTACGTACAAGAAACCTTTTAATGTTTCAATAACTTCATAATATTATAATATTAGACCTTCTTTAATATTTATATGTCTTATTAGCATTCATAATATAACGAGAGGAAAATGACGGTGAAGTTTAAATTCATTATCATTAATTATAAGTTACAGTTTTCATTTAATTATATGGGAGTATGATGGTATTTGCACAATTTATCATTGTGTCATGGTCAAATGTATTAAGCAAATAAAGTAAACACGGTGAAACATATGTACTAGATGTCGACCGCGACTCCGTCCATGCGGAATTTAAAAAAAGCTTAATTAGGAGCCAATGTTCTTCCAGGTAATGTTGTACATTTATGTCAAATTTCAAAGAGATCATTTCAACCGTCCTGGAGATATCGTCATATTATATAAACATACGCTTTTGTAATATTATTAATAGTAAGATGTACGTATTTATTACGAAACATTTTATAACAAAAGACATCAACAAAGTAAGTAAACATTACAGATCTGAGAGATTATAATATCTGTTTCATTTTGTATTTTTCCAATGAAAAACAACGCTAAATGAAATGTGGACGACTAATTGTGAAATTAGATTTTACAACAGTTATAAAAAATAAGTTTACTTGTTGAGTATAAATTAAATGATGCAAGATACACTTTAAAATCTACACTAGATAATTTTTGATAATTATTATTTACATTATTTTATTCTAGATGTAATCTTTCGTAACATTCGAATGTTAAAATATGACAATTCTTTTTTACTTGGTTCTGTTTGAAAAGACTATAAATTGAATAAAAATTACTTTATTACTTTGTCTTATAACTAAAGTGAATTTTTCTTTTACATATTTGACTTATAATTTGTCGTGTTCTATTCGTATTTAGTTTGTAAGATCTAGGTCATGGTTTGGTTCTTACATTGTTACTTTATTTTCCTTTAATATTATCTATTCAGGTGCTAATTTTAATAGCGACAACCTGGATTCCGTTGTCCTTTGTCTTTATCGATAGGGAAAATAATCACGGCCTTTTAAGAATTATACCAACAACGTGATTGGCTTTTTCCGGACGTTTAAATTACGGTATAACGTCTAGGTTAAAATGCCTTAAATTTTGTTCATAGCAAATTCACTAATATGAGATTTTGATTAAAAATTTGCAAAAAAAAATGACGTGATTAAAAGTGCAATTTTGAATTAGGAATTAAAAAAATTATACCACACATTACACTTTATTTTAAACAATTAACGTTTGTGAGGTCAAATAATCGCTATTATGATAAATCGATAACCCCTCGTCTTATGACAACCTCTTTAGATATCTAAATGAATTATTCATTGAATAAACAATGTACTAAACAATAGAGCGTAGAGTTGTTTGTTAATAAAGATGTTTGTGCATCGTACGATAAACGAATTTATTGATAATCAATATGTTTTACACAATTTTTTTATTTTTCTATTATTTTTTTACCGAATTTCAAATGTTCATTAATTGTAAGTCTAAGAAAGTAGGTTTGTAGATAAGATGTTATTTAGACATATGTTTTTTACATTAAATGTTTTTATTCTTTAGGAAGGATTCAACGCCTTTTGTCAAGAATGGCAACACAGCGATTATCACAAAGACCGTACTACCCGAGAAGCCTCAGAAGCCCAGTAAAGCTGGCAGAGGGAAGGCCTTCAAGCAAGTGTTGGCTTCCTTCATAGCGAACATTGGTACTGTAAACACGGGTATGGCTTTTGGATTCTCCGCCACCGCGCTGCCTCAATTGAAGAGTCCTGATTCCAGTATACATATAAATGATGATCAGGCCAGTTGGATCGGTAAGATATTAATTAATATATTAGATATTAATTCTTAAGGGACGCGTCCATCATCCGCGCCGCCCGCATCGAAAGATAGAGCAAATCCATTTAATCCTTGCGTGCGATGCGTCCGGAACGGGCCAGTAGACGCGTACTTTTAATCGTCCCTAGGAGAACAAATTATTATGCCCAAAATATTATAAATGCAAATTTCTGGATGGATGGATGGATGTTTGTTAGAATGTACATCCAGAACATAGTGTGGTAGAACACATAATCTACGCCGGATTAAAATGCAATGTTCCAAAATTGACAAGACATAAATTATTTGTTATAAGTTTTAATAATTTTAATAATCTAGTAGAAAGTTGATTATCCTTTTATAACATTCAAAAGCCTAGGTTACTAATATTATAAGATATTCTTTATCTAGTTAATATTATAGATAACAAATACTAATAAACATTACAATGTATCACTTCACGCGTCTTATAGACATATCATTATGTTATAAGAATTTAATAATTAGAAACAGTCAATGTAATAATCTATTATGTACTTGTTATCTAAATCATTAATTTTAAGCTGATTAAAATTACGGATCTATAAACTTTCTAATTTATAATATTTAATAGCTTTTAATTAACAAAGATAAGCTACTTTTCCGATCAATCTGAAGGATATAATATTGGTATATAAACATACTAGCTGTCGGCCGCGATAACGTCATCACGGAATGAAAAAAACACTTAACTAGGAGCATAAGAGTTTTACCAGACTATGCCAAATTTCAACAAGATCCATGCAGCCGTTCTGGAGATACTTTCAAACAGACATCCATACATCCATCTATCTAAACATTAACATTTATAATAGTATGATAACAAGAATATGATACATGGGTCCAATCCGATGAGGGAGAGCCATAAACAAGAAACAGAACAGAACAAGAATATGCATTGGTTCCAGCTAGTCTTAGCGCTGCAGGCACACCTATAGGCTGTATCTTGAGCGGTTACCTGATGGACTCCATCGGGCGACGTCGTACGCTCATAATCACAGAAATACCTCTCATCCTCGGCTGGATACTCATCGCAACAGCACAGAATGTTCCTATGATTTATATTGGTAAGGATATCTGAACGGCTAACTATCTTCTTGGTTTATCTCAACAAAATGAAGCACTTTTATCAACCACTTTTAATACAATTGTAGAAAAATACAAATTTGATAAACCTACATTGCAATCTTAAATATTTGTAGTACATGGACATAACTTCAAGCTGCTAAAAACGATTTTCCCACGACAACAGACCTCAACCGCTTGAAGTTGACAACTAAAAGTACTCATACCTTGACTGCTGGCTCTTTAACCAGTTTTTATTTTTCTAACCAACTTTTCCAATGAACAAATAGCTGCATCCAGACTAAAAATTATGGTACTAATTTTGCAGGAAGATTGCTTATTGGTTTCGGTTCTGGTATGGTTGGTGCGCCGGCGCGCGTGTACACTTGCGAGGTGTCGCAGCCACATCTACGCGGCATGTTGGGGGCGCTGGCGTCGGTAGGCGTGTCTACTGGGGTGCTAATACAGGTTGGTGCTTTCTTCCATGGGTTTCCATTATTGGAACACCTGTATAATATCTTGCTATCTCTGTTTTTGACACCAAAATGATAGAGAAGAGAATATGACTCTATAAATGTGATATACCAGTAAAGACAAACATTACAAATGAAAACCATTAATTACTTTAGACATTTGTGTGGTATGATTGAAGTAACCGTTGGTTTCCGAGACAAAAATCTCCGTTTAAGACATATTGTTGTCTTTGTTTTGTCAACTATAAGAACAGAAATGGCGATATTTTAGCCTCAGAACCCTACGGTAAGTGAGGTAAATTAAATCTCAGGGACCGTATAAAGAAATTACTAATGTCATGATCAATTTGCAAAGCTAATCTGTGCTATGTATATAATTTTCATAATACAAACATCACAATTTTTGACATAAGAATTCACACATTTGAAATAGTTATTACATACGCGGACATTTTAAAACGAATTATATATAAAAACATGTAAAAGAATACTTGAGAAGTATTTTTAATTTTACTTTAAGAACTACATATATGGGTTTTATAACATCTATTATGGGTTTAGAACAATGTCTAATATCGTGACATTTTATAATTGATAATTGTAAGGTAAATATTGATGCGTGTAAAATTAGATTATTCCTCAAACAAACACCGTCATTTGTCATTGGCTCGTGACGTCACATAACGCGATACACTCGTGATAAGGTTTGCTAATTTTATACATAATCATTTTAGACACGACATTTTTGCACAATATTTGAATATACTCAATAATAATTTTTATATAAATATTTATTCTTCATGGGAATTTTTCTCTTGATTAATAACGAAAATTGAGTTGAAAAATAAAGTAATTAGATACTTTAATAATACTCACAGCTAAAAAAGCGTCTTCTTCTTTCTCAGCCATAAGTCGCCCACTGCTAGGCATAGGCCTCCCTCAAAGATCGCCAAGATGACCGATCCTGTGCTACCAGCATCCAGGTCGCTCCCCCAACCTTGACCAGGACATCGGTCCATCTTGCGGGAGGCCTGCCCACGCCTCGTCGACCTAAAAAAGCTATCATCGTTAAAAAAAAATATTTCAAATATATGCTGCAGTCCATATTTTAGTCCTTTCTTAATACCTCTACTTTTTTCATAAGAAAAAGATGAAAGTGGTTTTTTTATGGGAGAGAGGACATACGGTAATATCCTAACCAATTTCTTCTTCGTACATATGTCTATTGAAACGCATTTGCAACCTTTTACATTCTACTATGTCTAGGGTCACTTGGTTATTTTAACAAAACCAAATGGTATGTTGGTTTGATACCGTCTAGAATATATATATTTATATTTCAGTATGTGATAGGCAGTGTGACATCATGGAACATCCTTGCTGGTGTAAGCGCTGTGATTCCTATCGTATCCCTGCTGGGTATGCTACTGGTGCCGGAGACACCAAACTTCCTGTTGCAACAGGATAAACGGGAACGAGCTGAGAGCTCGCTAGCCAAACTGCGAGGGTCTACCTGCGATCTGGATGAAGAAATACAACGGATGATAGCTTTCAAAGAGAAGAATCATGTTGAACCGTAAGTTTTTGTTCTTTTATCATGATGGTTTATTATTTAAAAGTGTTTTCGTTTGTGGCAATTGCATATTTTTTTTATGATATGTAAGTAGGAATATTGTCGTTTTAAAGTTAATTTAAAATATTCATATTCTATTATGTTATTTAATTTAGATAGAAAGGAATTAACTATGACCGTTATGTAACTTAAAGTAACTCCAAAATTTTTGAAATGACACTCTCTTGATCTCGGGTAATCTGTTAATATCTTTAGTCACTCACCGTTGTTTTCTGAGACCAAATTCCCCGTTTGAAACGTATTTTTCTCTCGGCTTTGAGAACTATAATGACATGCATGATGATATGTTTTATAGAGAGATGTTGGTTTCAGAAACCAACGGTAAGAGCGTGATAGTTTGCATTGAAGATAATATTATAGAAAAGCAAAACGATACTTATGTTATAATCATTTTGTTTACTATATTACGTTGTTTATTGTTCAAGGTATAACAAACAATTGTTTATAAGTTATTTACAATGAGTGGAATTGCGATATCACGATTATAGTTCGATTTTATTACTCTATCCATAAATATTTACGTCCCCTGTATGTCATAGTAAATTAAATAAACATATTTATTGTTTATTTCCACTGCCTAAACATGTTTGCAGTAACATATATCTCTGTTTATTCAAAGTAAATGAAAGGGACGATGATATATTTTAGGGTTCGTGTATTGTTAGTGGAAACCTACATTTATTTAAGTAACTCTTCTATGTCTTTTCCTTTGCAGTTTGAAGACACCCAAAGAAGTATTAAAAGCGCTAATGTCACCGTCAGCTTTGAAGCCATTTACTATTTTGGCTGTTTATTTCTTTATTTACCAGTGGTGTGGTGTTAATACTATTACATTTTATGCAGTCGAGGTGTTTGAGGTAAATAAAAATATGTTTATCAGAAGAAATACAAATTAAATTAGTTCCATATCGATTTCTAGAGATCTGAAACTCTTTCTTGTTGATATATTTCATTGTTTTAGATTAAATTAATGAATTCTTTGTTTTAAGACTAGCTGTCGCCTGCGACTCCGTCTGCACTTTCAGATTCCAGTGCCCTTCCAGACTATGTTATACACGTGTGCGAATTTTCATCGAAATCCGTTCAACCGTTTTGGAGATACCTTCAAACAAACAAACATCCATTTATCCATCTAGCTACACTTTCGCATATTAGTAAGGTAAACAGTAATATATTTAATTACAGGCATCCGGGGCTGCTTTAGATAAATACTGGTTGACAATCTCAATGGGTATTCTACGAGTTATTTTCACAGTAGTTGGGTGTATCCTGTGCAGAAAATGTGGCAGACGGATGCTTACTTTTGTCTCAGGTAATATCCCATAATCATTATCTGTCCGTTCATTTATATTATAAAAAAATATATAATACTAAATTAGTTGCTAATTGTAATCATAAAGTTAAAACTTGGGACGCTGTTTTATAGGTTAATATTGACAACTAACTTTCGATTTCTGAGCCCAAAATCTCTGTATAAAACATATCGTCATCCCATCTTTGACAAAACAGAGATAACAATATATTTTAAAAGATGATTTTGGTCTCAGAAACCCACGGTAAATGAATTAAATATTTTACGTATTTCAGCAATCGGATGCGGTTCTACTATGATAGTGCTATCAGTTTATATGTACCACGTCCAGTACTGGAAAGACAATAACATGCCGCCAGTCCACTCTTGGATACCAGTCGCCAGTATATATGTGTTTATGATCTCCTGTACCCTGGGTTATCTGATCGTACCCTGGGTTATGATAGGAGAAGTTTATCCTACACAGGTAATTGTTTAAAATTATTTTATTAACCTGATTCTCAGTATTTCTTTCTTCGTCGGTTCCATCAGTCATTTTATTTTCAATTTAAAAGTATTTTCCAAATGCTTATAAAGATTTTTATCCAGAATTAAAGACTGATTTTCTAAATCAAGCAACTGCTAGTCCTATTTGCAAGCAGTCACAAAGACTGATTTTTTGAAAATATCAGCAGATTTTTGTTAATTTACTAATATTTCTTGTACCATTTCAACTAAGCTCTAGGCTTGTGCTAGGACATGGTTTACGACAATAATCGAATGGCTGGATTCGAACCCCCGACCTTATGATTGGAAATCTATATCCTTAACCATTAGGCTATTGACGCTTCACTTGATAATGGTAGTACATCATATAAATAACCGCCAACTGGTGCAAAACGGGTTTCAATCATTCTATTATAATTGTAAAGCATTTCTTAATGTTTTTAGGTGCGTGGTGTTGTGGGTGGTATGACGACATGCGCGGCGCATCTGTCAGTATTCTCCGTGGTCAAGACCTTCCCCTTCCTGAAAGCCTCGCTAAATGACTACGGCGCGTTCGGTCTCTATGGTGCTATGTCGTTAGGAGGTAAGTTGTACTTTTATTTCGGGTTTTATCAGCGTGGAATTAAAATAAATCAATTAGCTTATGTGTTCTTCCAGGCTATGTTCTACATCTATGCCAAATTTCAGCGAGACCCATGTAGCCGTTCCGGAGATACATTCTAGCAAACATCCATATTAACATTTGCATTTATAATATTAGTAAAATAAGAAGCCATTTCGCTTTATCTAGTGTCTTGATGGTTTCCATCCTTTATCTATATATATCCTTATATTGTTTACAAAATGTTGTTAATAATTTTGTATTTAAACTATGTATCCCATAATAATTTTAAAGACACGAGTATTACTATGTTTTGTTTTTTTTACTAACTGATTAAGGATCGGAGCGTCGGTGGCTCAGTGGTCAAGCACTTGACTTGCAATCTGCAGGTCCTGGGTTCGAATCCCGCCATGTACCAATGTGTTTTTCGATTTTCCGATTTACATATGTACATTTATCCGACGTTCGTACGGTGAAGGAAAACATCGTAATGCAACCTGCACATATCTGAGAAGAAATTCAAAGATATGTGTGAAGTCAATCAACCCGCACTTGGCGAGCGTCTCCGAGACGTATAGTGAGCTGATGATGATGATGATGATTAAGGTATTAACTAATTTAAGGATAACCAAAGTATAAACTTAAGCGTGTAACTTTCAGGTATTGTATTCTTCTACTTTTTCCTACCTGAGACGAAAGGGAGAACTCTACAGGAGATAGAAGATTACTTCTGCGGCAGAACAAAGACGTTAAAGAAGAATAGCACACAGACGGCGTTACCTTGATGGGCAAAGAATTGTGATATATAGAGTTTACTCAAAGTATAATACAATATTGTTTAATTTACACAGGATGTATCACGGCGTTGTAGATATTTTAGGGTTTGTGTAACCCGTGGAACATCCTGTATAAGATTTTGATGTACAGTATAACAATTTACAATTGTAATTCGTTAGTATAATAATTGTTGTACAATTTCTGTATGTATAAAAGAGATTATTTTTTATATATATTGGAGTATTATTAAATAATACTTATTAGTAATAAATTATATTTTCTGAGTTATATCTATAGAAATAATAATTCAGATTGGTGCTAAATAAAATGAAACGCACAAGAATAATACTATTAAATTGAATTTTTAAATAAATTTGTATGAAAATTTTATATGAATCAAAAATTTTAAATATCGAATAAATGGATTTTGTTGTTTCTCAAGTTTCTAAAGAACCTTAAAGTCTATTTACTTTGCCGACTATATTGTAATTTAACTTCATGAAAAATATTATATAAAACATTCTTTCCCACTCAGAGTCCTTTCATAGTTATTTAAACAGTTTTTAGTGTATAATTACTCTAATTAATTAATAATTAACTTTAATTAGATTAAATAAATTAGTCACCAAGAGTTCCCTAGTACAATTAATTAAGAGATAGTTTTTTTTTAATTTAATGTTTATTCGTATAAATAAAAGTGATTAACAATAACTTTTGATTAGTGCCATTTAACAATTGTAGATATAATCTATAAGTTTATTTATTTAAGTTATATTTGTATTATAGATTGAAAAATATTCTGCATTTTTTGAAAGGCAGCTTAATGAATATTACTGTTTTAATAACATCAAATAACTTAAAAGCATTTATAAAATGTGATCAAAGTATTTGCTGAATCAAAGATTTCACGTAAACGTTCAATAAATAAATTACAAAAAAATTGTACCCAATGTTTTATTTCAAACATTTTTTTTGATATCATAAGGTGGCAAACGAGCGAGCGGCCACCTGAAATCGCTGAAATATCGAAGCGATCGTTGCCCATAGACATACGCAACTGCATATGCGTTGCCTACCTTTAATCGACGGAGAAGAGGATGCACAGAAAGAAAATATTTTCCCTTTCCATGCATCCTCTCATGCGGTCCACTTCCACTTCCCATCTTTTCCTTATAAGAAAAAGGGTGGAAAGGGAAAGAAGACTAAATTAGGCCTTCGGGACGCACACTCATCAGACGAAACGCGGAATAGCTTCCACTTGACGCCTGTCTTCTGTGTGGTCGTGGTATTTCACCGGGCGAGCCGGGACAATTCGTGCGAAGATGTTAAAGGAAGCTCTACCACTGTTAAAAATTGTTCACAATTGATGATTCGTTTTATACGAGTATCAAACAGACTTAAATTTGACAGTTTTTTTTAATAAGAAGTACACTTTAATCTAGATAAGGAGAATACAAGAGACCGTGATATCATCATCAACTATATGTCCGCATCTCGTAGTCTACCCTTAAGTTAACTTGGGGGTGATTATTCCATAGTCGATCACGCTGGCTCATTGCCGGTTGGTTGACTTCACATACTTCTTAGATTTGTGCAGGTTGCATCACGATGTTCACCTTAAGAATCTTTAAAACAATGACATAATTCTCGCTTGTAGAGATTTTTCTCTTACCCGAGTTTCTCGCTTCTGGAGGTTATCCATCGCGACCGGATAATGACTCTCATTAATAAAGGTTCTCGCTTATCGGGGCTCTACTATATAGTAATAACGTTGCAAATCTCGATTTTTGCACGAATCAGTTGTATTTTGAACTTGTATGTACGTTGCTTACACTTTTGGATTGTAAACATTGCCTAGTTGAAATGAAAATGCATCCATTGATAAAGATCGTGTTGTGTTTCTTAGCAGTGCAAGGTGCGTGTGACGCACGTTTGGACGATATTATTAAAATAAAATCAGGTAAACCTTTTTTTAACCCTAAATCTTATCTTTCTATTTATAGTTACACTATTTGTAACTCAAGAACGGCTTTACCGATATGACTGAAAAGCGGTGAAGAGGTAGCTTAGAGCCAGGAGACTGACATAGGATACTATTTAATTTTATTTATTTTTTTCGAATTTATGTCTTGAAGAGCTGCTTTTTATTTAACTTACTAGTATTATAAATGCGAATGTTTAGATGGATGTGATGTGGATGGATGGATGGGTAAGCTAACTAATTAAGTTTTTTCATATATCTACGCGGACGGAGTCGCGGGTGACAGCTAGTCTTTATATAAAGTAACAAGATTTGTTCATTTATTTTTTTACCTCTCTAACGTAAGAGAGGTTGAATACTTTTTAATTTCAAGTTTCAAGTAACTGTTTTAATAACTGGTCTTTTTAGTCACAATTAATTGCGAGCTATATATCAGAATTTGTATAATAACGTGATTTCTACAATTCTGTAAAACTAAAAAAAAACTGCAAAATAACACATACAAAATGTTTACAGATAAGAATCCAGTAAAACAGACGGACGGTATAGAATTCAGTAACATATCGCGATCTACTCTTCTACAAATATTGTCAGCCATTGAAGAAGAGACGCGCAGTAACCCGCCTGCTGCCAAGCAGACCCCGGTCTTCACCGCACAGTTCGCTAACAACAAATATACGAGACCGTTCATATATCCATTCATACATACCAGAGATTTATATATGGGCTAATAAAAATAAAACGTACTAGAAATTAATATAAATTAAACATTGAAAACATTAGTGTCTGTTACCTCATTTATTTTACCCACGCTATCGCCCGCAATCCCGTCCGAAAGGAATTAAAAAGTAACTTAATTAGTAGCCTGTATGTTCTTCCAAGTCATATTTTAATGTATGCCAAATATCAGCGAGATCCATGCAGCTGTAGCGGAGATACCTTCAAACAAACATCCATCCATCTAAACATTAGAGTTCATCTAGTAAGACATAGTAAGACATTAGTAAGATCTAATTTTTTCATGACTGTTAGTAGTCATTATTATATTTGATTTGTGAAATGTCACTTTGATTATGATCTCGTAAAAAGCGTGACTGATTACAAATTAAATGCGATTCAATTCATATTCTACTCATTTATGTCGTATCCTATTATTAAGTAGGTTTACGAGATTTCTTTCTTATATTTCATCTTATTTATGAACCTACTCCCCGCTATCCAGTTTAATTGAATTTAGGCAAGCCATTTCTAATAACCGTAAGTAAATTTTTCAAGTCTAAACCGGAAATTAACTAAAGTTAGATTTGCCTTGCCTTTATCTGTCAACAATTTTTCCAAATCTAAATTTTAATAGATTCTTCTTGATTTTCTCTGCTATAAAATAAAAAAGATGTCAAATACAAATTGTCAGTCTTTGTCAGTTATAAAATTTTTATGTTAGATTTATCCTGCTTTAGGTTTATATTTTTGGAAACATAATGTAAATAGTTAGTTGTACGTTGTATAATTTATAGTGGAGGGTTCGTCTCTTGTTTCGTCCTCACGTTTGTGAAATTATGGGAACATGCAAGACGAACCCGAAGTCTTGTACCCTGATCCTGGGTTATGGACAAAGACTTCGCTCATCCAATTATTTTACGGAATTATGGTTAACCTAACTTCAGTCACTTTCGGTATAGCTTTCAGCTTTTCCTCTGTTATGATGCCACAATTGTCTAAAGTCGACCCCAAAATTACAACAACGATGACGGAAGAGACGTTAATAGGTTTGCTATTTGTTATTTACTCACTTTTTTGAATGAAAATGTTAATTTAGTAAAGAGTTTCTATTTATTTGATGAAAGAATAATAATATTAGAAAGTTTGGAGATGTTTGATACTAAAAGACGTTATAAAAACGTTCGTATTGACCTTAAGACTGGATGGATATTTTTGTACTAGGAAGTATTACTGGGGTACACACGGTTAAATGGATGTTGATGTAAAAATGTTCTGTACATCGCGATTGTAAAACAAGGAACAGGAAAAACAGCTATGATTTAAAACTTCGTACAAAACAACTATTGTTAGCTTAATATGCTTATAATTTTCAGTAAGTGTATTACCATTCTCCACAATGATTGGTAACGTGATAAGCGGCTTCCTAATGGATACTTACGGACGTCGGATGGCCCTAATCCTCTGCGAGGTACCCATGATTATTGGATGGATACTTATTGGGTTCGCGACTAGCCCTGCAGAGTTAATTTTTGGTAATGGACAAACACAAATACATTAAAAAAGAAATAAAAATACTGTTTAAAAATTATGCTTGAAAGAATAATTAACTTTAAGACGTCTCCTCCGTCTGCGTGTTTAAGTTACTCGATTGTATGGAAACAGCAACAGCCATACGTTCATATGCTCCTAATTTAGCTAATATTTAATACATTTCATCAGGAACAGCAGAAACAAAAACTGCAAGGACCTACCTTACTTCCATAGGAATACAATTTACAATATTTACTTATTTGTCTGTGCAGGTAGACTTATAGTTGGTTTGGGCTGTGGTATGGGCATGATTCCTCCGCGAGCATACGTCACTGAAATATCACTGCCCAATATGAGAGGAGTCAATGGTTCCTTTCCCAGCGTCGGCATTGCGCTTGGAGTTATTTTACAGGTAACTAGGAAATTTATCTCAAAAAGCAGGTACTCCGATTAGAAATTCATTGATTTGACTATTCCTTTGTTTTCATTTTTCCAGGCGATTTTCGGTGCATTTATGAAATGGCCCAGTTTATCGTTTCTGAACGGTCTTTATAGCATCATTTTATTATTCCTCGGTTTCATATTTCCGGAGACACCATATTTTCTTCTTATGACCGACACGCCCGAAAAAACTGAAATGACTTTGAGAAAGTTCAGATCGATACATTATGATGTAGAAGCAGAAATGGACACGCTGTTGGAATTCAAGTCGGATAACAGACTTCGTAGGTTAATAACGATGCTTTTCATTTACGTCGATTTGTAAATATACTATCACGATTTGTCTGATAAAAAATTATTGCGGTGTCGTAAAATGTCTAAATGCTTTATTTTCTCTATGGCTATAAACTGGAGATTCATCAGTGTAACCTCTATGGAAAAAATAATTGTTTTTAATTTATCTAATGTCATTTAATGTTTCAGATTACGCACGAAGGAGCAGTTACAGTTGTTGTTCACTAAATCCGCCTGCAAACCATTCTGTACAATAGTTTCATATATAATAATATCGCAGTTAGTCGGAGTTAATCTTGTATTGATGTGGACTATCGAGATGTTGCATGTAACTTTCAATTTATATAGAATCATCATCAGCTCACTGTATGTCCTCACTGAGGGGCTCGAAGCCTACCCTATGTCAACCCAGCTGGCCCAGTGCGGGTTGGGTGACTTCACACACATCATTGAATTTATTCTTATATTATTCTCATTATATTTAATGCCTTATTAATTTTATGATAACAAACTTTACTTATAACACAGTAACTATCAACTATATAGTTCACCTCTCTTCGTCCTTTATTAACCATTTCTTTTATTACATTTCTTTTAAAGAAAGGGGCTTCTAATGTGATATATGAATTATTTATCTTTGTTCCGGATGTATTTCTGTCCAGGAATCCAAGTCGAGTATTAACCCCGATGCGGGGAATATAGCTCTAGGTTTTGCAAGACTTATCGTTGGCATCGGCACATCATTTTTAATGTTGAAAGTGGGTCGAAGATTTTTGGCATTAGTATCAAGTGAGTACTTCTATACTGGTTAAAGTTACTTATGGAAGACCAGCAATATAATATATCCTACGTAAATTTGTTAGTATATCTATAGTGTTGTGAATATAGACAGTTTTTTTGCATTACAGGTTTGGGCGTATTCGGTGCCTTTTTATTATTCGGAATATTTATAATCTACAATACTCAACCCAGTGCAATTCCCTTTGTCTTCTTTTTCGCTTATATTGCATTCTCAAGTATTGGTTATTATCCTTTACCAATGCTTCTTATATTTGAATTGTCACCTTTGCAAGTAAGCACTATTGACTATATTATCTTTGATATCATTAGCTATACGTCCCCACCGAAGGGCTCGAAGCCTACCTTAAATTAGGTGTGACTAACCCACAGTCAACCACGCTGGAAGTGCGGGCTGGTTGACTTCACATATATCTTTGAATTTCTTCTCAGATATGTGCAGGTTGCATCACGATGTTTTCCGTCACCGTAAGAACGTCGGATAAATGTTTATATTTAAATCGAAAATCGAAGAACACATTGGTACATGACGGGATTCGTATCCAGGACCAGATTGCAAGTCAAGTACTTAACCCCTGAGCCACCGAAGATCTTTGACATCAACGATCTTTAATTACTACTTACTTTATCTTATTCCTTGTTTCCAGATTCGTGGTATAGTTGGAGGTCTGGGTATAGCAACATTAAATGGTACAACATTTGCTGTCAACGCATTTTATCTGCCAGTTCGCAGTCTTATTGGATTTGCTAATGTCATACTAGCGTTTAGTATTTTATCTTTACTAGGTACGAAATTACTAGTTGACTTTTACTTTCACTAAAACCTCCCTTTTTTAAGTTAACGTTAAGATTTGCGACAGTATATTCCCTACAACACGACTAATGCGTCACTCGTTCTAATTGTCGTTAAATTTGGTCTCTGCCTTTCTGACCAAATGATATTTTCTTACTGCTCGAATAGATATCTAACTAAAAACATTATAATTCCTATTGGATTGGCCGTATTTTATTAGGTCTTTCTCACTCCGTGTCACGACATTTACCAAAAAATTAGTAGTTTAGTGTTAAAAATTGATTGACCTTTAATGTTATTCTCAGGTACCTTCTATGTTTATTTCTACTTGCCTGAGACCAAAGATTTGACTCTGCAAGAAATTGAGGAGTTCTACAATGAGAGACGTCCGACACTGACTTCACAACGTCGCATTCGCTCGATGCAAGCGTTGTCTCGTCAGCTCGGTAGCGCGGAGAGCAGGTCCCTCATGAGAATCAAGTCCAAGAGTTTTGCCAGATAAGGTCAAAGCAAGGTATTGTGGTATGTGATAGTCATGTGGCGAATAATTTTGTAAAAATGATTGTAGTGTAGTGTAATAAAGAGATTACAATTCTTAAAATTTATAAATTTGTATATTTCTTTCACAATAAGTAATAAATATTTTCTTTATTTATGTTTCGTGTAATTGCGCTAAGCATTTGCTAATGCAACTATAACCTTCTCCATCACAACAATTCCGTGTTTGAAATCGTCTGCATGAACTCTTTCGTTATGAGCATGAATTAATTGTGGCGTATTGAGGATCGGAGAGAATCCAATAGCGGGGATTCCCTGGCGACGTATGAACCGCGCATCTGTAGTGCCCGGACATATCACACTATTGATATCCAAACCCCTGAAATTGACATACATTTAGGACAATTCGTTACAGAGTTATAGAGAATTTCGAATGCCAAATGTAAACTAAACTAATTTATATGTGTAGACACAATTTTAATCACAATCATAAGACTTAAATGTCTACCTAACAATTATTTTATATAAGTTCTGCCTTTACACTTTTGAAATCTTACGATGAAGTTTTCGGTATTGGAGCAACTAATACTAAGCAGTTGTTGTCAAGTAATTAACAAAAGGCTGGTCTTCTGTTGTAGTTCATTTTCAACTTTTATTTATATGTAAAAGTACAATAATAATAAATTGATATAAAAACGGCTAATCACTCACGTATATTCGTCCGGTGGCGGCGCCGACTAGACTGACTGATTAGCCGTTTTTATATCAGTTTATTATAATGTCTCACGAAAGTTTGAATAATACAATCATAATACTTACATATCCCGTACTGTTTTTAGTAAAGCATTCCAAAAATATGCGTCCTCATCAAGTTTTGTAGTTTTTTCTTCTGGATTTTTAACGAAATATTCCAATGTAACGTTTTCTCCAGCATCTTTGCACCAACCTAAAATCTTTTGGAAAAAAATTGAAATTATTGTTTCCGAAAATAACATTTCTATCTATTACTATTACGCAAAACAAAACCTTTAAAGAAATCAAGGATCTCTTATGTATTTATTTTTGGATTAGTCGCAAAATATTCAATTACTAGTTTTATAAATAGGAATAAATATTTACAACCAAAATAAAACTACAGGTTAGTTTCATGCTACGATAATAAACGAACAGTTTTAAAATATACTCTAAAATGTCTTACCATATTCTCGAAGGCATTGTGGTCCTCAAATGGTGATATCCTGATATCGAAATATACAGAAAGCTGTTCAGGCAGCACATTGATTTGAACTCCACCCTAAAAGTTTTAAAATAGAATATTTTTCAAATTAATTTATTTTGAATTATCAGCACTAATTATTATTTGCGGATAGGTTAATCACGCTTGGCAAAAGCATGACAGGTGGATTCGATGGTCATAGAATTTTCTTTCGTTGAAAAAATGTTCATCCAATTTCGTTTCTTTTTAAGTAACTAATTATGTATGATACAAAGTATTTTCTCTCTGAATATGAGTTAAACTCGTTAGTTTTGTAAGATATAAATTAATTGTGCGTAGAAATTTAGTACGTTAAGCTTGTAAACTATTCTCTTGATTTACATTTTCTGCGAAATTAGGACGAGATTATTGACTTTAATTTACTTAAGTTACTCAAGATTGAAACAATGAAATACGCAATTCACTGGTTTAAAGACAAAGAAGTAAGATGCGTTTTATAAAGAAATAATAGTACACTTACTTCTAATTTTGTTAAATTGATTGTAGTTACTTCACCCAAAGGCGCGCCATTTATAAATTTTTGTCTTTCCTTTTCTCGATATTCCATAAACTTATGAATGATATAGTTAATCTGTGGAAGACACAATATTTTTAATTGCCTTACAAAATATTTTAAACTGAATATAATTTGTAGAGAATCTTAATATAATATACCATTACTGATAGACATTTTACCTTTTCTCCGGCTGTGACAGTGTCCTTATGGAGCATAGCACCATGACCAGTCACCCCCTTGCATGTTATTTTGACTTCTGCAAATTAATAACCTTTTGCAATAAGAAGAAAATAGCAAATACCACTTAGGGATATTGTATTAATGGAGAAAGAATATTTTTAATGGGATCAGTAATTTATGAGTTAATTCATTGCCAAAAAAATACAAATCTTCTACAAGTATTCTTTTAAAAATGTTTCGACAGTAGAAATCCACAATAAGTGTAGAAGTAATTCGTTCCACACTATGTCACAGCGCTGCATATTGTTCCACAAGCGTAATTCGCTGTAAGAAGTTGGGAACATGGTGAAACTATAATTCCACGTGCCGATTACCACGTTAGTAAATAGCGATATTATCATTTCTTGTTAGGCATTTCATAAACAAGAAGCCATTAAATGGATTTCCATGTGTAAAAACTACAATAGTTTCAAAAGAGCCGAGGGAATAGGAGCTTATTAGTGCAATTTCGTCACTCGAGTTTTTAGGATTTTGTGATATATCGCATCTTTTGTGATGTTTTATTTGATTGCGAGAATATGGATACAGTAAGACTGTACTGTAATATTTCCATTATTAATCTAAAATCTTTATACCAACCAAATAAGCAATAGTAATCTTTATATATATAATTCTTCTGTGAGTGTGTATGTCACTGAACTTCTCTCAAACGACTGGACCGATTTTGATGAAATTTTTTGTGTGTGTTCAAGGGGATCTGGGAATGGTTTAGATTCACAATTTTCATCAAATATTAACTTCATATTAATTTATTCAAATTAAAGACGTGTAGACAAGACAACGTCTGTCGGGTCCGCTAGTATACATATGTTCTTACAAACACGCCTTTAAAATTACAAAGCACTTACGTCTTGCAGTCCGTTCTCCATGGAAGGCGTGGAATACTTTTGGATCATCGCTAGGATAACTTTCGTCCATTTCAAAACCCACGTTTAGTTTCCTAAATTCCTCGGATTCACAAAATATTTTCATGCCGTCTATACCACCAAGCTCTTCGTCTGATTGCAGAAAGGAGCAGAAATGTTGAATTAAAAATATGGTTCATAGATTCGAATCTGACATTTTAGTGAGTTTGCTCACAGAAATAGTGGTTGGCTAGATCTGAGCTAGTGGAAAAAGAGTTTTACCTGGTACGAAACTGATATGAACAGTTCTCTTGAGCCTGACGCCGCCCTCCTTAAGTTTCCTGACAGCTTCCAGATGCAGCATGCCATTGCTCTTCATGTCTTGAGCGCCACGCGCGTAGATCCAACCGTCTTCTGTAATGTGCGCTTCAAACGGTGGGTATTTCCATTGTTCCTGGATAAAACTTTTAAATTGTAGCTGCTAATAATACTTAAAAAATAAAGATTATGCGATTTTTATGCAATTTTAAAAATTTAACTTAGTGCTATTTTTAAATGTCAGGCGCTTTGATGTATTTCAACTGAAATCGAATATACCAGGTGCAACTGTAAATTATGACGAAATTGATTTTTGATTTAGTAAACTATCCTTTAGATTAAGACCACTTACTTCGTAAACAGGCACTACATCCATGTGAGAATTTAATAATATAGAAGGTAATTCAGGTCGAGTTCCCACCCATGTTATAACCACCACTGGTTTCTTCTCTAGCAACTCATAGACGTTACAAGGTAGATCCAACAAATCTGCCTGTCTCTTCAAAAAGTTGATACATTCATCTATTAAATGTTAGATAGATTAGACATTACGAGATATGGTTTTAAATATAATTATGTCACGTTCACTATATCATTCTATGCCGTAGCAACTGATTGACTGAGAAAGTTGAAACCATTAGCTCAATCAACTAAGTTTAGTTAAATATACTCGAATATTATTTCAAGAATAAACAGGCTTTGTGATTTTACTCCGTTTTGTGTTAAAAATATTAATAATTCTAAATGTACAAAAATATAAAATTTTAGACATTTAATTACAAATTCGTACTTTATATAACAATTTATATAACAAAAAAAATTTCAATATTTATTTTCATATTACAAGAGAACTAAATAAGTTTATGCAGAAGTTAATATAAATTTTACTTACTGTAATCTACATTTGGATGTACACTTGGTATTCTTAAATATTCTCTGAACCTTTGAATCACTTCGTCTTTTTCCCATTTGCTCATCTTTCTTAAAACTCGAGAATTCGAACGATGTTGACAATATGGCCGTCTGTGCAATAAACGAATGGCAACAGCACTGTTATGCTAATATATACGTTGATAACCTTATCTAAATGATGTCACATTAATAGAAATATTTTTCACACAATTGTGGTATTTTATTTGATATTGCAAAGATATATTTAAAGACACAATCATGCAGTAAATTAAACATCCAAACCATTCTTATAAAAGTTAAATGTAAATTTATTTTATTATTTTAAATTACACGTGTGTAAAGCAATTTACATTTTAGGAATAAATTAAATAAAAGTCTTTTTATGATTAAAAGTGTATCACCAAAACTTTAGGGAAGATTTCTTTTATGTTTTATTAGGATCTTAATACTTTTCTAAACTACCGTAACGGACATCAATTGTATTGGTGACCGTAATCAGTCCATCTGCCAGATCTGCTTATAAATCTTAAATTTCACGCTATTTAACGCAACATAATAAAAAAAAAACAAAAAGAGCTTATCAAAAATATTCATTATCTATAAATAAAATGACTTTTACATTTAAAATGCTCAAATATAAAAGAGTAAATAATTTATTTTTATATTCTTATTTCTAAGCTAATATTGTCTTTCTGAAACCTTCAATGAAGATTATCTTTTTTATATCTTTCTTGTGTCATTTGTTAGAAACAATAGTCGACAACCGTGAAACGGAACGCGTCGATATGAAATCGGCGCGAAACCCACCTACGCGGGCCTTTCAAAAATCACTACATTCACGACGCGGGTTCCATACTGAGATCTGACGCGCGCCTTTCGCCTCTCCCCGTGCAGAGCGTTAAATAAATTAAAAAAATATCGTGAGTCTATTGCCATTATTAAAATAGTGAGTGTGATAAAAAATGATTCGAAAAATCAGTGCCCTCGTGTGTTGTCTCTGCGTTTTTGGTATATCTTTGAGTGACAGTGCTATATCAGCAGAAAATGTATGTAATTTAATTTTTAATCCTAACTAAAACTGACATAAAATAATTTCTCTTGCCTTCAGAACATTATCAAAGTTTCATCAAAATCTGTTCAGTAGATTGCATAGGGGATAAACAAACATAGAGATAATGATTTTTGTTATTTTAAATAAATTAATGTTATCTCCCTCATACCTCGATGCTAACATAATATTAGTGTAAAGGTATGTAGATATTAAATAAGATAAAACGTTTGTATTTCAATTCCGCTCTATTTCTACGAAGTGACCTTGAAACCGTGTGACAATTTGTCTAGAACTATGAAACAAACATCGCAGAGAACAGACATTAAAATTACACCTACAAAAACTTGAGTAATTTGTCACTTATGTTTTTCTTGATCACAAAACAAAAGCATTATAATGATTTTGACCCAATTAAATATAAAATTCTCAATTAAATATACAGGTCTTTTTCGCACTTTTAATCCATGTGTACCACCATACTAATATTATTCATTGCGAGTGTTTAGATGGACGGATGAATGTTTGTTTGAAGGTATCTCCGGAACGGCTCAACGGATCTTTATGAAATTTGGCACAAATGTAGAACATAGTCTGGAAGAACACATAGGCTACTAATTAAGTTTTTTTAACACCACCTGAACGGAGTTGCGGGAGATAGCTTGTTTTCTATAAAATCAAACAAGGTTAAATCACATATAAGTTTTGTCTGTGTGTCAAATTCAATATTATTATTATGATACAAAGAATAAAAATTATCAGAACCGTGAAATCTTAGGCAGAAGTTAAGCCTACCTTGAACTTCAGCTTCGAGTATCCAGTTCATACGTAATTCTTAGTAAAGACTGTAGCTAAGTGTGACAAATATTTCGTGACTAAAACGTGAATTTAATTGAAAATATTCTTTGTCCCAATGAATTTCAATCAAACAAAATCGTTATATAATTACACTAATAAAAAACACTTTAAAATACATTAATTAAATGAGAATATATCTATGTTATGACTACTTCTATTACACATAAGGCACATTAGTAAAACTGCAATAACTATTCGTAACATGTTACTAAAATAGTGGGGGATTGAAGATCCCACTATTAGCTTAGTGTACAGTTACTGTTGTAATGATTAGCGGAGTGTCTATGCCATAAACAGGGTGTTAAAATTATTAAATAACAATATAAATACGATCGTCGGGACATAAAAAATGATAAAGTACATTTTTCAACAGTTCCTGATCGTAAAAAAATATTAATTACAAACTATATAATCTTATTTTACTGCGACAAGAACTAGCCTATGTAACACATTATGTAAATCAATGTACTTACCATAAACAATAATAGAGTCAACTTAGTATTTACTTCACGTGTGACAAGTTGCAATCGTTGCATTTACAAACGCACAGGCAGATGTTGTAAACATTTGGTGCGTGGATACCGTACTAGTGAAAGTGAAACCGGCAAAGCGTAGTCATAGCGTACATTGATTATGGTTTCACTAAACACTTTGGTTTCGTTACACAGATTCATTCACTAAAGCAGTGAATGAATGAATTTGTGAAGGCAATGGGTATAGCAATGATTACTTTTAAAATAAAATAATGGATCTTTACGTCAAGTCTAACATGGTTTAGTATTAATAAGAGAAAACTATTTTGTTTCCTACACAACCTTCTATTATTCTAGTAGGGGAATTTTCAATAATTTAATTATATTTTTATTTGTATACTTCTATAAAATGTTTGTAATCTCTGACCTGATAAGTTGTTTCTTGCGTAAGTTAATCAGGAAAAGAAATCAGCTCGATTCTTGTTTTTATATTGGTTTAAATCTTTCTAAAACATTTCTGCTATTTATCCATAGTTTAGTATATAAATCTGTACCTAACATATCTTCATCATAATGTGATTACTTAGAAATAAAAAATAGACAAACTAGCGCAATACAATTTGTTTTAGGTCTTTACGATTAATTGTTTTTTTTTTAATAGTAACTCAGTGTTCAGGCAAACATAAAAGTTTTATACAGCGTTAATTAGATAAAATTTATTGCGCTAATGAAATTGTCAATGTTAATTTAAAGCCTGATATAAAAAATAGGACAGGCAAAACAGACAAAAAACATTAATAGGCATAAAGCTTTTTCGTATAAATAGAACAGTGGTAGAGCCCGCTTAAACATCTTCGTACGAATTGGCCCGGCTCGCCCGGTGAAATACCACGACCACACAGAAGACAGGCGTGAAGTGGAAGCTATTCCGCGTTTCGTCTGATGAGTGTTCGTCCAGGAGGCCTCATTTAGTCTTCTTTCCCTTCCCATCCTTTTTCTTATAAGGAAATGATGGGAAGTGGAAGTGGACTTTCTGGATGAGAGGATACATAGGAAGGGAAAATATTTTCTTTCTTTGCATCCTCTACATTAAAGGTAGGCAAGGCATATGCAATTGCGTATGTCTATGGGCAGCGGTCGCTTCGCTATTTCAGGTGGCCACTCGCTCGTTTGCCATCATATGATATAAAAAAAATAGAACTAATGAAAATCTGATTTTTTTTTATCTTTTTCAATATTCAAATCAATGTTAATTTTTATTCATAAATTTTTGTATTGTAAGTTCATTGTACGATTTTAAATTTTGAAAAAAACCATCGAAATGCGATAAAATTTGTCGTTTACTCAGACACATATAGATGATCTAACAGCACCACATCCTACACAATGCCGTATATAGTTTGTATGACCATAAATGAATTAGCAAGGCTACGCCCACTGTATGTCATGACTCAATACCTGCTAACTTGCAACGTTAAATACAATTCACTTGCGAAAATATAAGTCACGTTTTGTTTTCTCACTTTACACGGTCTCAAACTCACTATTTTTATTCAAAATACTAATGAACGACCCAATTTCATATTTTTACAGTCTTTACAGTTAAAAAACTGTAATATTTCATTAGGTAAAATAGCCTATAATTTGGCCGCGTGCCTCGGCTACCTTCCTGTCCAAGTCTCGTCAAAATTGGTCCACCCGTTCCGGAGATTACATGAAAAACGCGGCCTACGGACCCACATACACATAAAGAAAATGTGAAAATTAAAAAATTGCTAACGATTTTTACTGATGATAAAATACTGAAAATCTAATTGTAATAATATGTCAAATTATTTGACCACAATTTGATAGTAAATATTTTATACTGTTAAACCAATCAAGTAAAATACAGTTTTAAACTTTATAATTTTCTTACTTTGCAATGGTACTTTCTAATACTTTGTAAAGGTAACTAAAAAACTAAGAACCATATTTCTGAAACATATTCGCACATAAACACAAGAGATAGACATTCACGTGTTCACACGAATTACGCAACGGACCTGAGAACTTATTGATATCTGAGATCTTGCAAGACTACACAAAGGTTCAGTTTGTTAGACACGAGGAGTTCAATCACTCACTTATATAACAAACATGTTCTTACACTAGCCATTTAAGTAAAAGGATATTAGTTAAGTCATAAGTAATTGCAACTGAACAAGTTTTAGAATTATACAAGGCGTTTAAATTGTTGCAGTTATAATAAAAACATAATGGAAAACTTCCTCTAAAACTTCAGCAAATTCTTTTCTCTGCTGCTCTAAATTCAACTTCGTCCACGACTCGTATTTAGACGTGTTTTATATTTTAGTTCATCTTGATTTCCAGTGACAATGACGCAACATTTAGCTTTGTTCTCAGTTGTAAAGGTTAGATGTAGATTTGTGTACGTTGCAAGGATAAGCATATGCTGATTCTGTTCAATCGTATGTAAAAAGCAATATTAAAATTTATTGAGCAATTAAAATACATCGATAATTTTAAACATTTTTTAAGTTTACATTTTAATTTCGAAAGAAAACAATAGATTCTTTGATTGAAGATTAATCATAAAATGGTTATAACTAGTGTTTTCAGAAGTACGAAACTTGTACCTAGAAAGTGCACCCGGACCTTGTAAAATTTATAATACAAATAATAATTTACCGAGTTTATTGAGTAGCACTTCATTGTATGGATACCTTTATTTATGATGTGACCATTATAATAGTTGGAACACCAATAGACAGTGTAAATAATTGCACTTCGAGCTTCGATAGTTTTTGTGTGAAAGTGTGACGAATGATAGAATGAAGACTCGTGTCTGTCGACTAACTGATTTCGTTTTTTGACGTCTGTTCCATATTATTTTAGGGACAGTAACCTAGATTGAAATAGTTGTAAAAGATAATATTTTGACGCATATTTGTCAAAAAAAGAACTTTTAAACCGTAAGAAGAAATTTTCTTATGGACCACTACAATTTGATTATTGATTGAGCATGTTCTTAAGTGAAGACAAAATCTACAATCGCAACATTTTTTCTTTTAAAAATACACCCACGTTTTCATCGAGGTCTCTATTTGGCCTGCGGACTATTTCGTCTCCAAATTTTGTGTGGAAGGTCGTCCTACACATATTTAAGTGACGATTAGTCGTTGATTAATTTGACAATACATATTGGTATCGCATTTCGATGTAGTAAGTACACAAAGCAATTTTTAAAATGAATTCATTAATATTTATTTAATTAAAAGTAACATTTAGTCAATTTAACTCTAATAACAGCTCAGATAAAATGGAGTCGTGATAAAACAATTAGCAAAGTTCAACAGTCCGAATAATTTCATTGAACGATCCATTTCGAATCAATTTGTCGCAGAGAAAGCGAACAAATGCCAGTATTGGAATGTGCGTCTGACATCGCCAAACAAAAACCCACCCATACTAATGACCATTTGTACCTCTTGTGTCCAATGTTTAAGTCTTACCACAGATTATACAATAAAATCTACTAGCTTTATTACAAGATGGAAGCTCCAAAAATATCTTAGGATTAAGGGTTTCTCAATCAAGTTTCCTGTTAAATTTTTATTATTAATATTACTAATAGTTTTATTATCGTTGCTTGACATTACAAATACAGATGTCAAAATAGAACACGGAAGGAGCAAGAAAAATCTTAACCAACATTTTTAAATTTAATATTTTAAAATATAACAATTTGCATTATTTATAATCACTCTATCTTTAATCACCACTATCTTAGTAACTACTCTTTAGGTTAAGAAACAGATCTTTGAATCGTAGACCTATTTTTGCAATGGCGTCTAAGTTCACTGTTGCTTCAGAGTGCTTCAGTGTTGCTCAATAGTTGAGATTTATTTGCCAATATAATTTTGAATTATATTTCCTGGTCTCAAACAAGCTTTCTATTATTATAAAGTTTGTTATTATATCTTCTTAATTCTTCTTATTTTAATTAATATTCTTCTACTGGGAGTTCTTAACACTTAATTCGACGAAATTTTCTGTAGCAAAAAACCTGTTTTTTTTTAGTAAAGTCATACTTACGTAATTTTCTCTATACTAGTTCAGTACATTTTTTTAATTAGTTCGTCACACTGGACACCATCAAATTAAGGGTTAATCTAATCATAGTCTTCAAAGTTTCTGGTAGCAACACCGCGACAATTGTTTTAGTAACTGCTTAGCAGTTCCTTACTTTCCTTGTTGCTTAAAAGATTTCAAAGCATCCGAGATAATTTTCAGTCAATTTTAAACACGACTAATTAGTTCTTTGCTGAATCTGGTTTTATAAACATTTAAAGTAATTAAGAGACCATTTAAAACCTAATAAAGTCAAATAGGCGTCGGCGTTCGGTGACAAATAGAGACAGCCGCATTTTGCTTGACCTTCGTACGTGTTCGCGCTAAAAATAATTCTAAGCGACAATGGTCCCAGACCAACGATTTCAATCAAGATTGTATTGTAGTCCGACCATGGAACATACATAATTTGCCTTATTTATTTGAGTAAAGCCTTTAATGTGTAATGAAGGATTGATATTGCGTGCATTGACCAACAGATGGCGCGGTAAACTAAGGGATGTTAAGTAAAATGTACGTTTCATTTTGATTCGTTATTCAAGATGTTGTCGCATAAAAATAAATGGTCCGTGCGACTTGAATGGTTTTATACGCAAAGTTATGATTTCTTTTGCACTTTTTTCTTTTTATTGTAGACTAGCTGTTGCCCACCACTTCGTCTGTATTATATAAGTTACTATGGTTATAATACTTAAGGAAAGATTTCTTCCTTATTTATAAAAAGTATGCGATAATTTACATATACATATACACGTACCAATGGATATTAAGTGTGAAATGTATATAATTACTGATAAACATAGTTCAATGACACTTTATTGACATTTTAACGGACATATTAGTACAATGACTTACACGGAAATGTTAGAATAACCGTATGTAGGCACCTAGAGATAACAATAACAGGACATTATACAGATGTTCCTAACTGATCGTATGATTTATTTTATGGCTACAGAAGTCTTTATTTTCTTACTAAGTATTTAAAAATTAAAAAAAAAATCCCATAACCATAGATTATTTTAATTTCCGCGTGGTATTAAAAAAAAAACTTAATAGGTGTTTTTCCAGACTATGTTCTACATCTATGTCATATTTCAATCCGTTAAGCTGTACCGGAGATACCTTCAAACAAACATCCTTCCACCCATCCATCTAAATATTCGCATTTATAATATTAGTAAGATTAATGTAAACAATTTTCAACAGGAAGCAAGATGTAGAAACCCACCGACAGCACCTCAGAAGATCGAAAGAGTAATAACGTTATGTCAAGATGAAATTAAACTCTCCATACTAAGAGGTAAGCAAATCATATTCAATAAAAACAACGTAAAAAAACATGACAAAGAAGCTACATATAAACGAAATGCCTTTGTCCGTTTATTCGGGTTAAAAAATTACCCATAACGAACCCTTGTTGGTTGAAATGTAACACAAAAAATTGACTTTAAGACATTTATCATTTTAAATTCCACAGTCGTGAGTAAGTCTTGATAAAGGCTGCCAAGGGTTCCTTCCGATCCTCTGCTCTGAATGTGGGTCACCCTTTTGAATGTTAAACATGATAATAAATATAACGGTAAATTGCTTTTATGCTTTTTTAATGGGACCGTTGAAATTCACGAAGCATTTTTAACGCATGTTTAATTGTGGTTTATTGTAATCTCTTTCTTTTATGGATTCTGTATTTAGTAAAAAGGTTTTGTTGCCGGTAAATAGAATGAAGTATAAAAAGTGCTACTCGTACACATAATTAGAAATAAAGAGACAAAAAGTTACAAACTCAAAAGTATGTGTTTAAAAAAAATATAATCCAATCATAATCTTTGTCGTGGTTTTGCTAAAAAGTGATATAAAGTTGTTTATTATAAGTTATGAAATAAGATCTGATTTAAAAATGAATATCACCAGAATCCTAAAGAAACCAGTATCCAAAAACATTGCGGCCAAAAACAATGTGTTAAAAGATTTAAAAAATTTCAAAATTGGAACGTTTAATTTAAAAAGAATTGCAATTACTGTTTACTTTTAAGATCCAGGTTTGTCTTAATTAAAAATTATTGAGTCTATGGATAATTAAATTGAAATAATTTAAACGAGTTCATAATTTATGGTGACAATCATGTTGAGATAAAACATACGATACCAGTTTTTGAAATGTATCTTTTACGAATTATAATTTTTTAATTTGTTATTTCCAAAGATATGTGTTTATTCCCGGGGGAAAAAGACGTTACGTTCCGTCTCGCGAAAGGGCAAAGAGTGGATTACGATTCGTTTGGTCACGCCAAATGGAGGTCCTTAGTCTCTGCCTACCCTTCTGGGTCACAAACGGGAATTCTGTTTGCATGTTTTGTGATTTCTACTAGTCGATATTTTTTCATCTATCAATTCTGTAGCCATATAATAATTAAAAACATTTAGTTATTTTAAAATTTGTTCTACGTATAAGATACTTGGCAATGGAGCACGCTGCCTCTAAACCAAGGATAATCTCAGCATTCCCACGTTCCATCTGCCCATTACATGAGACGAGGCGTTTAGAGGATACTTTGTTGCAGGCACATGCATCGCTAATACATAACGTGTACAAGGTCGCTGTAGTGAAAGTGAACGCAATACCGATGTAATACGTACATTGACTACGCAATGCTATGCTAAATTGTTGATGCTTTCTGATCTAGTTTTGTGACTACTGTCTTAATTTTCAACATTTTTCAAGTCTAAAATCGTTGACCATAAAAATTATTAACACGAATAGAAAGCTAGTTTTAATAAGTTATCTATAATTCGTCTTTAACAGAAATATTATAACTGTAACCTTCTCAAGTGGCTCAGCCACCCTAAGTAGTCCTTTTGCTCCAACAATCTCTCTCTCAATATTTCTTAATTATCAAGCTCTCAGGGCCTAGCGATACCATGTAAAGGGATAGCTCTTGGATAAAAGCTCCAAGCTCTTGCAGATCTCTGTCCACCTCATCCTTTTAGCGATACTTGGGACGACCAATTGATTGTCAGCCATTCACCCGTCCCAAGTCTGCACGTTTAACACTTAAAATCCAATATTTTTAAGGTTGAATGATGGATGAAAAAAAATCAAAGCACCAGCTTTAGCTTGTTAATTCTCCTTTTTCAATATTAAATCAAAACTTTAAGATTTGAGTACTATTAGAAAGAAGTGCGTGACTTCTTTTTCACTTTAAACCCGTTCGGGACTGGAACTGGACAGCTTTTGATATAAGTTTTCATAACAAACTGCAATCGTATTAGCAATAATCTTAACTTGTGAAATTTCATATTTGTAATCGTGTGTGACCCTAATTTGTTTATTTTTCAATAGTTATATTTAATGTGTACGTTTCTAGGTCGAGTTGCGAACAACTTAATGTTGTAATTTACAATGATTTTATGACAGCCCTGAATTTATTACTATTCATTTTTACAAATCTGATGAAATCATTTTATTTCTGGTTGTTTCAAAATTACATTTTGAAATTATATTTTTCAAATGGAATATTTTCAAATATAACAAATGAATACGAGTACGAAAATACATCTTGATAAAGACAACTTACCATGGGTTTATTAAACCTAAATCCATGTTTTAAACATTTGGTTATCAATGTTTTGTCGAAGGGATGAAGATATGTTTTATACAGAGACTAGCGGACCCGACAGACGTTGTCCTGTCTACACGTCTTTAATTTGAATAAATTAATATGAAGTTAATATTTGATGAAAATTGTGAATCTAAACCATTCCCAGATTCCCTTGAACACACACAAAACATTTCATCAAAATCGGTCCAGTCGTTTGAGAGAAGTTCAGTGACATACACACTCACAGAAGAATTATATATATATAAAGATTTTGGTGTCAAAACCAACGGGTAGTCATTCATTTTAAAATTTCAACTTAACAATTACTTGTAAATGTTTTCAATATTTTTTTTTTACTTTATTCACGTTACAATGTAACATTGACTCAACAAATCCTTTCGTGAATTTGATGTTAGTATGTGTCATGTTCTGTATGACTCAATACAAGACCATATTTTAAACAATTGAATTTCTGATTATTAATACGATTATATTACACGAAAAGACGGAATATTTTCAATAAACTGTAAAGTTATAAAATAATTTTTCAGTGTGATTAAACTACATTTTTTTTTAATTAAGTGCTGTCAATGTTTTTCAGCCAGGGTCATATTTTCTTCTAAACGCAAGCATAGACTAATATAAGTCTCCTAATGCCATGTTTTTTGTAAAGGCAAAAAATTACAGCTAAAAGATACTTAAAAACACAAATATTTGGTTATGGACTTACGTAAAAGCAGTTGACAGACAGACGGACGGACAAAAAAGTGATCCTATAAGGGTTCCGTTTTTTCATATGAGGTACGGAACCCTAAAAAAAACATATTTCTACCCACCTCAGATTGACAGAAAGCTAACTTTGAAAACTATTATATTCCGAGCAAATCAATTGGCTTCCGTTTAAAACACGTAATAAAATTTAAGGTCAGTTATTATGATCGCGTTCACTATTTCGTAACCTTGTGTCGTATTATCGGACGCTAAAGGTTGCTTGCTCAAGTTCGGCTCTTTGTTCGTTCATGTCCACGTAAGCTAAACGACAGACGAGTTTTTTTAACATGACATTATTCTTGAAATTGGAACACATTTTTCCTACATTGCTTAAAGTTAAATTCACGTGGTTACTTAATTTTGAAAGCAGCATTTATGAGTTTTTTTTAAGACGGTAAAATTTTTGTATGTAAAATTATCTTTCACCATCCTGTTGTAAGAAAATCTAATCTATACATATTAATAAAATTGGATTGTCTGTATGTAATTTCGAAAAAATCATATTTCGTAAATATTACGTGACATTGCATTGCTGATGACGAAAAACCATTTTTTTTCATTTATGTCTGTAAGCGAAGCTGCGTTTGTTCCCGGTAATGTCCGAAACGGCTAGACCGATGTTGACCGGACTTTTGACGGGAAGATGCACATGGGAATATTATAGGCTACTTATGTTATTCAACGCTGACGAAGTGGCGTACGACCACTAATAACAAACAAAAATTTCGTCAATTTACTTATACTGATTTACCCACTAATGAAAAACAATAACAAAAATGTATACCACTGTTATTCGGTCACGAGAGTTGTCCGTTATTTTATTAAAATATAATATTTGCTTAGCAAATATCAAAAATTGATGTATAATACGCATTAACGTATGAATAATGAGTCGAAACCGCAATTCGATAGTCAAATTAGAACAATCGACGCCAAAGCATTAGTGTCAAAATTTTTTTGCACATGTTCTACTCATGGGTATAAGAAATAACGGTACGATATAAAGGTCGTGCCACATCGGACAGTTATACTTTGAAATTTTAATTTTTAACTGTGATGTGATGATTTATTTAACGTAATGAATTCAATATACATATATTGTCTATGCGACAACACGTTTGGTTGATTTCTCTGGATATATTTAGAACTAATATTGGCTTTATTGCTTTTATCAATATTAAAAATGTTTTAGTACATTACAGAAATAAGTTTCTTGCCAATATTTAATTGGTGTAACGTCGGCTACCATTTTACTTCGGTATATCTAAATTCTAGAACAATTAAAATACTGGAAGGAAAGCACATGATTTTTTTAGTAATGCATAAAAATGTCTAATGTGGCTCGACCCTAAAGTTAGATACGTAATATGTTTTGGAATCGCTAAGTAAATATGGTCAATATATTAATACTGTTAACGGTAATCAGAGAATGCCATCATTTTACCGCCGGCCTGAGCATATTGACATTGTTCATGTAAGGTCTTTGACTTTGAGATACAAGACCAAGCTGGCAACTTCTCTTCCGAATAAAAACAAACAATAAGTTCTAAATTTGCTTTAGTATGTGTTTGTTTGTCATCATTACTTCACCCCTACAAAAAGTAATATTGAGTACAGCAGGAGCTCTTTGCTTAGTCCTTTTCTCTATTGTCATAGTATAAGATAAAGAACGTTACCTTTAACTTTAAACTCTCTCGTAAAGGTCTTCGTATGAATCACGATATTTCCATCACCAATTGTTTAGAACTCTCAATAACTGGCAATTGTTAAAATCAATTATTTTTTTAATCGAAGAGATGAGATCACTGCCTGAGGATAAAATGTCGTGAACTTACATGCTGGGCACGATTTTTATTGCCCTTCATAGAGTAACTTAGAGGTAATTGTGTATAGAAGGATACAACGAATCTGTACACATTTATTTTACAATTTATTAAACATATAGAAAAATGTGAGCGTCGGTGGTTCAGTAGTCAAACACTTGACTTGCAATCTGCAGGTCCTGGGTTCGAATCCCGCCATGTACCAATGTGTTTTTCGATTTCAGATTTACATATGTACATTTATCCCACGTTCTTACGATGGAGGAAAACATCGTGCTGCAACCTGCACATATCTGAGAAGAAATTCAAAGATATGTGTGAAGTCAACCAACCCGCACTGGGCCAGCGTGGTTGACTATGGCCTAATCACCCTTAACTTAGGGTAGGCTCCGAGCCCCTCGGTGGGGACGTATAGTGAGCTGATGATGATAGAAAAATGTAACATATATTTAAAATGTGTTTTTATATGTATGTTATCACATAATTCTAGAACGGCTAATCGAATCTAAATATATGGAAAAGATAAAGATTACAGAAGCGCACTGTATATAATTAAAATATTTATTAATTCTCCGCAGACGAAGTCACGAAAGACAATTAGTATGAAATAGAATTATTGCTCAAATCGCAATGTTTGTTAAAATAATTACATGAATAATTAATCAACAAACACGCAATGTATGTGCAAATAATATTGACATTAGTTAAATTAAGGAATAATTAAATTATACGATAATTGCATTGAATTTGCCAACACTAATTATGTCAAAGTGGATCAAACGATTAATTGGATACTACGTTTTATAATTGGTTTATAGATAAATATAAATTACGAAGAAAAACAACTGGAAATAAATTAATTTGTTTATACAAAAAAATATCTTAAATCAAATGCTATAATTTATCGAAAACGTTCAGAACTTGATGAATAGATATTTGAAGGTATCTCCAGAACTGCTGAACGGAAATCGATGAAATTTCGGATACACATAGTCAAGACGAATACATGGGCTAGTTATTATGTTTGTTTTATTTCGGTGCGGAGGGAGCCGCGGGTAACCGCTAGTACTAATATATATGCGAACTCTATGGTCCAGTAGTTCAATATAATTATAAAATAGTACTGCAATAAAATATAAAGATAAGCTACTGTAAAGGCTCAAGATGACTCATGAATTCTCCCAAGCAGGAAAAGTTGGCTAGCGTAGTGCAGTAGTAAATTCTACTTCGAGATCCTCGTTATAAACTTTAATCATCTATGTATTTACACGTAACACATAAAGTATTATAATCGGCCACCATCATTGCGAGTATTTATGTAAGAAAAGTTACCTTAATAGCTCTCTACAAGAATACACATCAATTTTCCTTTCTTAAAAATTATAGGAAGAATATTAATAAATAACAGTCTATGAAATAAATTTTAAGGAAATTAAATCTCAACCTATTATGAACTCATGAAAAGCCATTTAAAGACAATTACTTATTATTTTATTGTTACAAAAATATGCTTCCTCATATCCTAAAGTTTGCACTATGCAACTTTTGGGTGCAATTCACGCGTCTGCACCAACCGCAACCTAGTCGCGTAAATTACCGTTTATTCTTTGCACAAGTAGTGCTACACTCATTTGACTGTTATATTAGTATTTGCAAGGTTTGTTAACGTCTAGTTTATATGGGTATTTTTATTGGATCATTTACATCGATTCGGCGCTTCCCCTAGGAAAATAACTCTCCACTAAAAATCCTAACGTTCACAGTATGTTTACTTACCACACAAAAATTAAAAATATAAAAGAACTTAGTAAACTAGAGTATTACTTGGAATCTTAAATATTTAATTTATTTTTTAGGGTAGTAGTTGAATTGCGAGGTAAATAATCTAGTTATGATATCCTCTAATGTTACAATATCCTGTAAGAATATGTCGACAGCAGTGTAAATGCGGGAAATATGTTATTTTGTTTTGCCGGTTATTGAGTAACAGTAACTGCAAATCTATAAAAAGATCGAAAATCATTTGATGGAAACATTAGTTAAGGATTACAATATAAAATGCTTTTAAAAATATTTGCAGGCCTGAAACTGTTTCAATTCCTACCGATACTTTTATCTATCCTAACCAGTTCCTGAACTTGTCATAAAGAAACATAGTGACAGGATGTTTACTCGTCTAATGTCAATATAGAGTTCTATCAAAGGTATTCTTCATCTCTTCATCCATGTCTATTGCATTCCTCTACACTTTACATCACAAACTGTGTATGTCTGCAATCATTTTGTCGTTGAAAGTGAACGTACTAAGACTCCGTGACCTACTTGTCCTACATAAACTTGTTTATACAATATTTATCGCGTCCATTTAACTAGAGTTAATTCACCTAACATATAAACGGTGCATTCTTGAACAAATATTTTGTGTACTAACTTATCAAGAAATATAATTCAAGAAGGTTTTAAGTACGTCATTGGTAAAGAATACTGGCATGAATTTTTTTTTTGCAGTACATTCTCTTCTAAAAAAGGCATAAGTGATCGTGGTCTGTGAAAGCCTTTGGTAGAGCTTTTCCTGTTTACATATGTACTTCTAATCTCATTTTTTATCCAATTTCAGAGGCACTAGACGTAATTAAGGAAGAGCACACTATGCCGGCACAACGACGACGCAACAAGAGAGAAGTGCCCTTCACACATGACGAGAAGAGAATCGCCGGGGTAAGAAACTTAATACTACAACCACTGTTCTCTATAGATAGGATAACGCTTGGAAAGAACTTTGTCTAACCCCGCAGGGGGGTTAGACAAGTGCATTCGCTTTGAAGCGATTCCGTAACGAACTTTAAAAATGTATAGAACTGACGTTAACTTTGGATAAGTCACGTGATTGTCGCGCGCCAGTTTCATACAATTTTAAGTTCGTTATGGAATTACTTCGAAGCGAATGCAATTGGTCTAGCCCCGCTTTTGTTATTGTTATCTCTGTTTTATCAAGTATAATGACAGGGATGACGATATATTTTATATAGAGATTTTGGTCTCATCAAATAAAGGTGATTCGGTTACTTGCATTATGCAATTAATTATTTCTCTGTTTCCAGTGTCTTCTGCAGTGCGTTTACCGGAAAGTGAAAGCGGTAAGTTTCAGCTTTACTTTCTTATCTTAAGTTAAAATTATTACATTTTTTACACGGATTAAAAAGATATTGTAACATGACACGGTTAAGTTTACTTCAAGCGTTTAAAATTTATGTTAACTAGAGCGTAGCCGTTGTAATCGTTTCGGTACCTTTTCTATAATCTACAAAAAGATAATTTTATTTGTTATAATGATAAATATAAAAAAAAATAAACAAAAATTTTAATTCTTACTCAAAAACAAAAAAAAAACTACAAATAAATGGGAAATAACGATGTATTTAAATTTAAAAATAATGAATAATGGCGATACCAGTAAACAAAATACTAATCTTTGGTTTCAGACACCAAATTCCCTAAAAAATCATATTGTTTTGTCACGAGAGGTATGTCAGACGATTTTTTAAACCAAAGATAAATAAACCAACTCGTAACATTGACATCAATGATCTTATATGATATTCTAGGTATTGCGGTTTGAGGTTTCGAACTCATTTGAGCTAGTCTAGGTTTCATATTAAATTACGGTATAAGAAAATTATATAAATCAATCAATCGAATGAAAACATTAGTTACAGTATGGTCTAATAGCTATCCCAGTTACCTACTGACTAGATCTAGACTAGGTTCAAAAATTGAGTAACACTATAGTGCGGCAAACTTATCTGGCATAAAAAAATGACAAGAGCGACATGGATCTTGTGACACTTTTATGACAATAACAGGGAGATAATAAGTTATCATTAACTACCTGTCGCCCGGGACTCCGTCCGCGCGGAATTTTTAAAAATAATTAGTTGCCTGTGTTCTTCAAGACTATATTCTATATCAATGCCAAATTTCATCGTGATCCATTCAGCCATACTCGAGATACCTTCAAACAAACATCGATCCCTCCATGTAACTAAACATTCGCATTTATGATATTAGTAAGATAAGTTTGACTTATGCCTACCGGGTCAGGTAATATAGTCGGTCTATAAAATTACATATGTTCAATACAACAGATTTCTAGAATTCTAATAGTCTACAATTCTAGATTTAAGAACTGAAATATCTCGATGCACGCATTCGAGGTCGACCATTCCCCCATGTTAAAAAAATAACAGACAATAACAAAAGATAATGAAAAAGTTTTTAATGCTTTATGGTTCTGTCGCAAGTCGATCGCTCCAATTTGTTAACTATAAAACATGTCGGCAAACCATAAACTTGAGAAAGAAATTCGTCCTCTATTTGAAACGAATCGAAAACACGACTGGAATATAAATATGGTCATCATAAACCTTCGAGAAGGTGTTATTAATTCTTTTATTGATATTAGTACCTGCTCTTCAAGGTCCTAAGACCGAGCGAAATACGCTTCGTAGTTTTAAAGAGATAAGGACGTATGATTTAAGTTATTGCCGGCCTGTATAGACCTATAAAGTTGATTTATTGTCACCCTTAACCAGGGAATGTCTAATTCTTTTTTATACTTGCATCTGTGGCAGATTTATATTCAATTCGTCTTGTTATTCTATACAAAATATCTTTTATCTAAGGGTATGCTGTTGAGCCAATTAATTTGGACTGATTAGCGATGATTTCAGATTTATTTAACAATATAAATCTTTAATAGTTATTGCAAATCTAAATCTTAAAGTTTTTATTCGAACTGCTAACTTGAAATTTTGTTAAATACAGTAAGTAATCATACTGAAAAAGTATTTATACTGAAATGCATTTTAGTATCGCTTATTAATTTGTTACTTCTTATTAATGTTATAAATGCGAATGTTTAGATGGATGGATCTTGGAAGGTATCTTTAGAACCGTTCAATGGGTATCGTTGAAATTTTTCATAGATGTAGAGCACAGTCTGAAAGAACACATAGGCTACTTAATAAGGTTTTATAACTCCTCGTAGACGGAGTCGTGGGCGACAGCTGGCTATAGCATGAAAATAAAAAATAGAAGGAAATGAACCTAACGGGACATTCTATTAAAATCTAAAATCTCTGTCGATAAGTTTTCCTTGCCTTAATATCCCTTGCTAATCATAACACTATTGTATCGTCTTCCAGGTGGACGGCTACGGGTTCCCCACACTCGAGGGCCTCGTTGGTCTGTATTCTGATGGAGTGAACGAGCGTGGCTACTTCATGGCAGTGCTGGAAGCGTCTCGCGAGTGTCTCATGCGCAACCACGATAAGTTCTCCAGGACCGTCCCTATGGGTAATATTTGTTAAGATTTTTAAACAAAATATATTATATATTAAGCTAAAACTTCATTATCAATTACGATATCTTCATTTTAATATAAATGAAACGTTGTTACGTTGCTACAGAGTGTTATAATATTGGGATTGGGAACTTTAATTAGGTTAAAGTATGTTATACCTAGCCTTTAGTTTAGTATAAAGCATTTTTGAATAAATAGTAAGGAAAATTACGTGTTATATGTTATATATAATATACTATGTGTTTAATTAAACAAGTGGTCGTGTGGTTTTTTAACACACTTTTAACACACACACTTATATCCAATGAATCTCTAATGAACCATTGTTGCCAACACAGGAAAAAAGTTTATAATAATTTGAATATTGCCAATACAAAAAGAAATTAATAAGAATTAAACAAAAACAATAAATACTTTATGTGAATTAATTGAACAATATGCATTAAGTATAGATTAATTAATAATATCATCATAAATCTTATTTTTTTTTATTTCTGTTTTCAGACAACGGCCGCAACTGTGATGTCTCCTTCGACATTTTCGAATGCATATCTGATCGCATCGGTGAATACTGTGGCACTTCTGGACTTTAAACCTTTAAAAATTATCATAGAAATTATTAAAAGGCGATAATTATGGTGTTACGAAATAAAATTATTTTTTAACAATTTTTGTGCAAAAAAGATATTACTCGAATAACCTAAAATCCTCTTACTTTTGATATCTTCTGCATTGTTTTATGTTTTCTTTTCTTCATATAATTTTGTGGCAAATTTATAGCTAATTTCGTTGATTTCGTCTGTGGTTTACGTATGGTTTAACAATTAAGCAAGACTGCATTGCGCAAATTATATTTACAGCTGGATAGAACATTTTCATTTGATTTAGCTAACCACAATTCATTGTTACTAAATTAGTTAATTCTCAAAATTATTATATTCGTTTGATTAAACATTTATTCATTATGTATTAATTCCATGATTCTTATAAACAAAAATCAGATATTGTAATACTGAGTAAAAAACGTATGGAAATCGATATATAATTGTGAACTTTTTTAATCTTTGTGAAATTACATGATAGCCGTGGATTTCTATTGCATAAAACTGTAGTTTACTACAGTACTACAAAACACAAACAGACTTCAAATTATTACTTAATTTCAGCAAAAAGTATAAGATTTAAAATAAAAAAGCATTTATTTTTTAAAAACAAATAAATAACACCTTAATTATGGCCGTAACATAATTAAATAAGTAATACCTTTTGTTAAGTTACCAAGATATTTTAAAACTTACTACCACTGAATATTAACATTAAGTAAATAATGACGTACTATGTACATAGTTTTAGTAAATAATATTGTGATGCTCAGTAACTAATAATATGTAGATAATAAGAGTTTTCAATTTAGAGATTCTGGGAGTAAAAAATTATAAAAAAAGAGTAAAATCCGTCCATTGCATAATTGTTCCAAATGATATGTTTTTTGTAAAATGATTGATAAATTCGGAGCTTTATAACGAACTGATAGATTAATATAGTACATAAGAATGTTAATAAAATCTGTAAATAAACTATATTTTATTTTATCCCACCCGCGACTTCATCCTCGTGCAATTAAATAACTTAACATCTTTGTGGTCTATTAAACAGTATTATACATCTGTGCCAAATTTCATTACGATCGATCAGCTGTTCTGTAGGCATCCAATAACTCCATCCATACATCAAAACTTCCGCATTTATAATATTAGTAAGATATAATATTATATATATTTAAAATATGTCTGTGTATCTTTGTTAATCTTATGTCATCGCTTAGTAGTCGAGATTGATTAATCTTCATGAATGCAGAGCAGCCTGACGTTGAGATATATTAAAGAAAAACTACACTTAAGTAAAATTTACATCCACAAACAATTTTATAATATGTAGCCGTGTAATGGCTGGAGAAATGAATATATTGTGACTATTTGTTGTAATGGTGTTATTACAAATCATTGGGGATAAAAACTGATGTAAACTTCTTACTTCAAACTATCAGCCATAAGCTAACGTCATTGTCAATCTGTTAGTTATTTGTTTTGTTAGTGTCTTTGTCAATGTATCTAATGCTCATACTAAAATGAACTCTACTGTTAATTTTAGCTTATTATACCTTATATCCATTAAAGGCTTTCTCTTATTTCAATTTAACAAGCTCCAGACAATGACTGCGTTTGCGACATTTAATAAAATTATGCTTAATTGATAGGAGATATCAACTTACTTTAAGACAACTTAAGTTTCAGAAGATTATTCTTAATTTTAGACATTATTAATCACAACCCTTTGGCGCGAATGACGTGCTTTCGTTATAAAGTCTAGTGTCAGAATGAATCTGAGATGACACAAACGTCGATATTTTAGTAAGGCCATGGTTGAGTCAATACACTGGCTCATTTCCGGATTTTCTTCCTAACATTACTTGATTATTTTTTAAGTAAACCTAATAAGGTTTACTATCAAAATAAAAATAGCAAAGTTCATAAATTGAGAGATTGTGTGAAACATATTGCAGGCGTCGCTTTGTAAAATTCTGAGATGAGTAAATAGTCGGGCTATGTCCCTAAGCATTTGCTTTTATGCCTTAAAGCATCTTCTATTAAATGTTTTACTCGTGCATTTATTTAAAGATAAACCCTAACCTAAACAGCACATGTGAATTGTGAAAAATTATGTTAAGGTCGACTAATGAATGCCCTTTCTACCGACAATAAATTATTGAACAGGCAACACTAACTACAGGATATAATATTTCAGATATAATGTTATTCATTGTTAAAAATAACACCTTGGTCTCAAGACAATATGTGGAAGTTCTCATTAATGCTCAAGAAAAATGTAATTAGGCAATGTCTACTTAGTCTACTAAACTAAAAAAAATATGTAAATTCGTAGCCGACAATGTTATCGGCCATCTAATTTATTCGATGGTTTGCCCGCAACATTCATACTCGAGAGCTTCTCTCTCACGCATTTTCATTTCCCGATTTTAATGACTTTATCGTCAATGGAATTTTAAACAATAAACAACAATATTTAGGCAAAAAATCAGTTTAGAGTTTTTTAAGTGACCTGTAACACCATAAACTAATTTAAAGATAAAAAAAACTTTCCTGTGGTTATCAGAATTGGATATAGAAACAAAAGTCACTGATTGCATTTAATGTATAATACATTGGTTATGTATGATATCTGAATAGATTGTAATGCAAACTTTGACAAGTATGTCGGCGGGCGCAATGGCGTGGCGCAACTGGTAGAAGCAGAGTGTAGGGCGCGCGGGGCGGCGGGTGGGGTCTGTAAGGGACCCCCGCGCTGCTGCCCTACCGTTGGTGCAGTAGTACCAAACATATGCTGTACGGAGAACGGGCGAATATAAAAGAAAACAGGGAAAATTAGAAAGTGAAAATTTATTGGTTTAAAACCAAATGAATCGCGGGAAATTCTGTTTTAAATTTTGCTTTATCACAATCCTTACACTTCTTAAAAACAATAATTTAATAATTTGTAACATTAAAAAATCCTAAATGAATGTGTTCCTTGTCCAAATTACGGGTGTAACATTGTCAGTGGCAAAGATAATTATGAATTATCACACACAAGTTCCGAAACGCATTTAGAATTGTCTGAGCCGGAGACTTCCTACTCATAAACCACGGGCCGTAAAGCGCGAACAAAATTGTCGATCGCTATCTACCATTGTCAATCTACGTTGTGTCCCACGACCTCTAGCGGATCCGTTTGAATACTAAATTCAATTGTATAGAGTTAATATACATGATAAGTTTTACCTCCAAATCATTAATTACATCGGTTTTTACTAACAAGACTGCCAGGATTGTAAAAGACTAGAGATTTTTTATAAAGTTCTCAAGCTTTATGGTTTCTCGTTGATCAAGCTGATTGAAGTGCTTTGTTGTTTTGTCAGGAACGTACACATATTTGTATGTCTATGATTATTTTGAACATTAATTAATAGTACCTGGATGACCGGTATTTTTTTTTTTAAATTGTGTTTTTTGAAAATTATATTTAAGTACGAATTAAACATATATAAATAAAATGACGAAATATGAATAATATTTTTCGATCTTACCGATAGAAAAAGTTTAGTTTATGTTTAAGTTGATTATCGATAAAACACGAATAAAATGACATTTTCTAAAAATGATTCCTAGCTAAATCGATTTATCGCCCCCGTAATCCCCTGTATACTAAATTTTATGAAAATCGTTGGAGCCGATTCTGAGATTCCAATTATATGTATATATATATATATATACATACAAGAATTGCTCATTTAAATATATAAGATGATATTACATTCATTACTTTATGTATGTAGAAACTCAATAATCAAGTGGTATAAATTATTAATTTGTCCAAAACTTCAGTAGGAAGAGAAATTTCAGCCTTTACTTAACATGGTAAAGCCTTTAATCAGCTCTCGGTCCTGCAGAACGATATATATACATATATATAAGTTATGCTGTTAACGATTCGTAAGGCTGAAAAAATTTTATAAAACGAAAAAAACAATGAGGGCAACCCTATTCCCCTACCATTATACTGAAGGCCCGTATTGACTCGCTAACAAGATAACTATTTATAAAAACCGTCCAATATCTAGGGTTGCCATTTCGAATAATATTATTATCTAATTAAAAATATCAGAAGACATAATTTTAAAGTAGACTATACTAAACAGATTTATGGCAAAATTAGGGCGTATTTTAAAGTCGAAAAATGAGAACGTTCTTAAATGTTTTTGAGGCAAATGTTGATCTATCAATTTACTGCATGTAAGCAAACTGACGTCCGAATTATTTAATATACTTGAAAAGTAGGTGGTGCCAACAACATCATGCTCGAATCTAGTCCAACTAAATCTATTGTCTGGTTAAATTACAACCAAATAGTCATAGTCTTCTTGGGTGATCAGCCTGGTGAGACCATCCACATATTCAGATTGAATGTTGAATCGGTAACCCTAGCACTAGTCTTTGGGTCAAGCAGCACCGGACGCGCAGCCACCGTGAAGATGTGAGATGCCCTTCACGCGCTCCATTGTGCGTCCCTTCGATCTCCGCCTCCTACTCCTCCTGCGCCTCATCACTACAACGTGTTCTTCAAATTACACATACGAAAGAAATAGGTAAAGGTCTTTTTAAACAATATTTCACATCGAACACGGTTATTGTTCGATAATAAAAATCTTTACCGCTTTTGTATTTGGCCAATAGCCAAAGTGAAATTGCTCAATAAATTGTCATTTTGCAATTGGTTCTAGTAGTTTTTCTGTATTCCTGTCCACCTATAATTTAGCATCGTTTCGACAGTAAAATAAAAAAAAGTTTTTATATGAAAATACATATGTAATAAATTATACCGCAATTTTCCGATACTATTTCTATATGGAATAACAATAAATCTGCAAGAAGCTATCATTTATTATGATTGGAGTGAGAAGGGTCAGTTCTCTCGCACCTGTCATACATCACAGAAACCGATAAAGTAATTTCCTTTGGATCCTTCTCATGTACTTACATATATCTCTGTTACAGTGAAATTTAGAAATACAATTAAGATAAAAATAATGTTATAGAATTAAGGCACATCAGCTATTCTTTCTTTATATCTTACTAATATTAAAAATACCAATGTTTGTATAGCTGGATGGATGTTTATTAGAAGGCATCTTCAGAATGACTGCATGATTCTCGCGGAAATTTGGCATAGATGTTAAACATAGTCTGCAAGAACACATATGCTATTTGGTCTTTGAAGCTATTCAATATATCAGAAGAGCAGGCGAACTTGAATACAATGCTTCAGACGGAAGGACATATGGAAATGATGTAGTCCAATATAACAAGATACGTGGGCAAAGTGTAAGTTGTCTGGATAATATATTAAACCAGGGGTCTTTGTAAAAAAGTTTCACATTTCAGTGAGTACAATTCGATACTATGATTCGAGATGATTACACCGGAACGGACATTGATTGCTTTGTTTCCATTTTACATTTGGGCCGTTGGTGTTTACGTGTTTTTTTTAATGATTTATCAAGACTATTAGGGACTAGGCTAGGCTTCAACAAAATATAGTTACATTTTAGGGTCTAGCTACATTAATGTAAATATATTAAAGAGTTAACGAACGAATTAATTGATCAATTAGGAACAGTCTTTAAGTAGAATGAATAGATTCAAACCAAGAGACTAGAATATAAATTAAGTGATATTTTTTTTATTTAGAAAACTCTTCATCATTCACAGTAGTAGGAATTGTTAGTGTAAAAATTAATAAATGAAACAAAACAATGAGATGACTGGATATCGTTGTATTATGGATATGTGCATTAAGAAATATAACTCGTCTCAATTAGGCATTGTGCAACATATCCAAGGCTGGGGCATGCGGAAGACGCACAAACACCGGACGTCTAATAACTGACTCGATAATGAACACCTACTCTAACGAATTCCATTAAACAATTGCGAACTATAATAATTTATAAACTTGTTCAAATCGACGTTGTTACATCTATAGAATTAGAGTTTTCAAAGTTCAAAAAGAACAATTGTATCTATACTAACTTTGTCTCTAGGGACGTAATTTTTACGGTTTTTATGTTAATATGACTGGTCGTGGTCATCAAGTATCGGTGACCCGCTTTACCAGGCACCTCTACTCCTAGTGTGGTGAGCACGACCAATCTGAAAAGACTGTAACTTCGAAGAAGAAGAATGTTAACATGATTGTTTGTATTATAGGTTTGTGTGTTTGTACATTCAATTTTCACTTCTCGTAGCAAGAAGTTGCTGGTTTTCTTGCCTGTTATAGACTCAGTTTGTTGAAAGGCTGTTGTTCAAAAACTACACCTAAGAATTTTAGAGATGTATTTATTCTTGTAGTTCCCATATTATTGCAAGATAAATAAATTAGCAATAGAATAAAATTCTGTTCCTGGTCGAGACGTAGAGGATACCGCGACCCTCATATCTCAACCTGCCGCATCTTCGCCAACTTAAGAATGTGCACACAGAGAAAGCGTAGGTATACAAGATACATGCTAATTTTAATGCAATATTTTTGTAAAGCTTCTTTTAAGCTAAATAACATTTGATTACATAATTTCACTTGTAACGACTTAAATTATTTTAACGAATCATTTTTGTTTAGAAACAATAAAAGGCATGTTTAAAAAAACATTTTATCTCCCTAAAATACGCAATGTATAGATTATTAGATACAGAAGTTCGTCTTGTTAAAATTGACCGTTGCAGTATAATATTTATAAAAGATGTTATTTGATTTACTCGCTTCGCTATCGCCTAGCTTATCGCATTATGTAGCATTGTTCTAATATTAATAACAATGCCGTCCGGTCGTTTTCTCGCGTAGTAGCTTCGCTGGACGCTCATTTTGGCGCCGTATATAAACAGCTCTTTGTTTTTTACCACCATAGTCATATGCTAGACATAACAGTGCAACGTGAAATGATATACTGAAATATGTGCAAAATGTCGTGGACTGTATTCAGTGCTTATGTTTTGTGTGTGTGCAGTTTAGTAAGGACTCAGGTGATACCCAGCAAGTCTAGAGCAAGCGATGGGGACTTTAATAATGTTAATACAGATGGCTCTTTCGATTTTGGGTGAGTTTATGTTGTTTGTAATTTCCTTTTAGGAACAAAAGGATGATAATAGTGTAGGTGTTTTCGTCTAATGTTTTTAGTTAAATTTAATATACTTACATCTTGTAATGTTATGATGAAGTTTTCTATTTAAAATTTGGACTAATATTTTATTTACTATAACAATTTAAACAATGTTTGCAAATTTATTTTATCTTGTGAAAGAAAATAAAAAAAAGACTTCGTTCGATTTAATTAAAAAGTAGCACTCAGCAATCATTTAATTTTCTGTTAATTAAGAAAAAAAATAATTAAGTGACCTTTCAATTTTGCACAGGTACGCGAACAAAGATCGCGGTGGTAGCTACCACCTGGCAAGGGGTAACCAGAATGGCGTAGTGGGCGGCAGGTTTGGAGCCCGGGACCCCGCTAGCGACACTGTCAAGGAAACCATCTATACCGCCGGACCTAGAGGGTAAAGTGGTACACATTTGTATAAACATTTTTTCCCCATTAAGGCTTTTTATGATTGTATAAAATCCGAGCGAGTTTCAGTATTTGTTGTTAAATCGCTTTTGAAAATAATTTTATTTTAAACTACTTCAAGTTTATTTTCAATAAATTTATGATATTCTGTTTGTAAGGTGTGTTCAGTAAATCTGTTTGCGATGTTATTGTTTTCAGCCGCACCGCAGGAAAGTCACGCACGGGTTGTTTTAGAACCCACCTCAACCAGTTACGTATTTGCAGCATTTTCTGTCACTAACTTTTACATTTCAACTTTCATAGGTTCCGCGCAAAGGGTCCAAACGTACACAGACAAATTGACTTGGATCAACGACCTCGGGGTCCGATAGGGAACAAAGATGACCCCTACTTCGATCCTAACGAAGATCCGAGTTATTCCTTCAAGTTCGATACGAGAACATATTCGAAAAACGAAAATGCCGACAGTAGGGGCGATGTTAAAGGTTCGTTAAAGGCTTTATCTATTATGCAAATTTAACTAGGCTTGTATTTGTGTATAACCATTTAAGGGTATTTCCACGTAACATCGTATCGAGTACAAGTGAGAACTTAGCTCTTTGCTTATGTATGAATGTAAAACGTAAATCTACAAATGTAGATTGAATTTCTTTTATAGTTATTTTTATTTTTGAAACGACGTGTTTTGTTTCTTCATTTATAACATTGATACGTTATACAAATTCGTTTTTTCTTAGGCCACTATACATTTGTGGATGACGCGGGGGAGCGTCATGACGTGACGTACGTGGCGGGTCGTGACACGGGTTTCCACGTGTCGTCTTCCCATCCGGATAATCCCAGCGTGATAGGTTCGCCCTTCCACCGCGCGCCACTAGTACGGGGTGAGACACGTCCCCGAGGTCGCACTGCCGTCCAACGCGGCTTAGACGGATCTTACAGGTGATAAATTATACTACATTTGTGTTTATTGACGTTTTCTTTACAACTAAAATCTTTATAGAAAACTTAAAGAGCAAGAGGATATTTACAGCTACCAGAATTTTAGTCATTGTCTACATTAAAGATACCTAGTTCTGTATGTATTAATTTTTGGTTGGAAGTTCTCTTTAATTTTTCTTTGCAGATTTATATCAGCAGGTCCTGATCAGAGAAGATCGGAAAGTAGTGACTCACAAGGAAATGTAAGAGGGTCGTACACATTTTTAGACGACAAAGGTGTGCAAAGGTGTGTAGATAAAACTTTTCTTGTCTATCGATGAAACTTTCCTTGAAGTAATTGTAAATACCAGATTTTCTCATGCTTTCTACATTCAGGACTGTGAACTACATAGCTGGCCCCGGTATCGGTTATCGTATTGTGAAGAATAGCAAAGATCCTTTCATTCCCCCATTCTTCCCCACCATACCGAGCTCGTACGACCCTGACTTTGTAAACGGTGCCATCGGGCCTAGCGTAGCCAGCTTCACTCCAGATGAAAGTGCCGGCGAGGATGTGTTTAAGGGTTAGTACCATGTACCTTCTATAAGTACTATAAAATTCTCATTAAAAATAATCGAAGGTTTTGTAGGTTACAAAAAGATTGTATATTTGGATACGTATGTTTGGTTGTGGAGATATCAATAAATCTTGTATTTCAGGACCGGATGGTTCAGCTGCATCAGGTCATGTTAAACCTCCTCCATTCACAACTTCTGATAAAGAAAGACCTAGCAGTACACCTGATATCGAAGCAGGTCCTATAAGCAGCGATGAAGGTCCCGGGGAAAGTTTCAATCAACCTCCTTCTTATAATCAAGGATCAGATAGTGAAGATGCGAGTTTCGTGGATGAGGATTCAGGCTATGGAGGGCCTCAGCCCACACAAGGACCAGGTGATAACGTATAGCACTGCTGATGCCATCTGATTGATGTTGGTGATCTTGTTATTTCTATGTTACATTCATTTGTTTTTAATAAACTAGGTCTAAGTAAGTGTTACAATGTAAATGTTTATCATGAGATCTAGGGAGAAATAAGTCATGAAATGAAGGATACTAAAATGGATACTTCTGATTGATAAAGAAGACTAATTTTAGTAGTGAAATGCAGTAAAAATATAGACTATATTTATAAATTAACGGAACTATGAAAACAAGATCACGAGTTTCAATCCCAATAGCACGAAGGTTAAAAGTGTGCACATGTGGAATTATATGAACATATGCTTGATCGCAATAATAAATATTGTACACGGACAAATTGGTTTTTATTACACCAACACCTTACAGCACTGGCACATCGTAAATCACGAGCACAAAGAACTTAGTAATGATTAAACCTTGCAGGCAAACCGTGGCGTCCCACAAGCAAGCCATTTAGGCCGACGAAGAGACCTTATGTGCCACTTAAACCTTCACAGACGAATAAAGATCATGATATTGACTTTGAAGGTGAAACTCACGAGATTGATTCAGCAGAGTTTGGTGTAGGATTTGATGAACACCAAACGAAACCGGGAACCACGATAATTAAAAATATAGGTAAAAAATATTTTGGTATACCACCCGGGGTAGCGGTCAGAGCTCATGTACAAAGTATAGATTTGTATCCGTTCGGACCAAAACCAATTTCACCGTCAGAAGCCATAGAGAATGAACAAAACTAAATGTTGCTGGTGCTGTAAGGTCTTAAAAACCTGATATGTAAATTATTAAGGAAATATTGTTAATAAATATTTTTATATTTTAATGATATTTAATTAATTGTACCCTGTTATACGCAATTTGTTTCCGAAGTCTACAATATCGAAAATCAACTTAATTCACATGATTAATAGAAAAGGGACAAAAGGGTCCGCATAACATAAAACAAACGACACGTTTAGGAACAATTTACTAGTCCGGAAGAGATTACAAGTATTAAATTCCGGCTTAGTACCAATTAATTAAACAATGTAATGTAATAAAATGTTTATTCAAAATACTCTCATTTTGTAAAAAAAAAATTAATTTTATGTCAATAATATTATTCAATAATATTGTAAGTAAAAATAATAAGTCGATCTAAAAGTACTACATATAAATACTGGTAGGTTTCTTGGATGTTATAAAAGCGCCTGTTAAAATATAAAAGCAATATACCTTTTAAATACAATTGCAGCAAACCGGCTGTTTACACACGGCTTCAATCTCTTCAAACAAATGCGGATCTCCTTGTGTATTTCATTAGGTTGAACTTGTTAAACAAACACGCAACAAGGGTCTAGCCACAACCACAACCCTTAGGTTAAGTTTCTATTTACTAACCAAAATCCCAACTATTTCTCTTTAATCAAAAATAAATTAAAACCAATAATTTCAGTACTGCTAACTTAGTCAGGAAGCACTATATTCTCAATATTATTTATATCCGCAAAATTTTTATGTATACTATAAAGTAGTGGCTTTAGGCAGCGTGTCAACGAGACATGCACTCTATATAAGATTCAAGTTCTGAATACCAAACTAATAAGTATTCATGATCGCTTCCTTGAGTACGAAAGCTCAGCTGATCTTTTTATTTTTAAAATATGGTCTCATACTGGCTTAAGAACAATGTTGCCACATGTAAAATATCGAAAACTACGGACAGCTTCCTAAAATAATGAATTTCTATCTATTAGATGTGTATCCTCAATGTCCATTAGACGACCATGGGTTTGTTGACCTTAACGTTTCAATTTACGTACTACCCACATTAGTTTATGTATTTAATTGAACTCTATTAACATATACTAGAATTAGCACGATGTAATTTCCGTAGACTCTTATTATAAATATTTATGTCATGATGATTTTCTTATACAATTTATAACAGCTTAGGAAAATAATCTTGGTAAGTTGACAGTTGATGCATTGGTCTACGTCGCTGAGATGTCGGAGTTTAAGTTTCGGCATTTGTTACTTTAGATTTTGCATGGAAATTGTAACTCGACGAAATGAGCCTCTAGGCCACGACTTGTTGTGTAATTAAAAACTTACTAATATTATAAATGCAAATGCTTAGGATGGATGGATGGATGTTTGTTACAAGCTATCTCCAGAACAGCTTAACGGATCTTGATGTATCTTGGCCCAGATGTATGTCATAGTCTGGAAATACACATAGGCTACTTATTTTTAATTCTACGCGGACGTTGTATATAAAATTGGATGTAACACAAATGCAGTCATTGCCGCTTGATTTTTATCCATCAAAACGTATTTCAGCAATTTGTACAAAGGAATTTTGATTTGCAAATCTAAAAAGAAAATGTTCGTTTACTGTTTGCAATTTAAATTTTGCCTGAAATTGTAGCGGCTTAAATTTTCATTGATTTATATAACATGCTTGCCAAATGGTGCTTAGGCTCCAAGAAGCCTAGATATATAACACTGTTAGTATGCTGGCGTTTTTCCAAATAAATTTGTAGTACGTCGACCTTATTACATCTCAGTCATACAAATATGTTGCTAACATTCTTATGAACATAAATTATGTTATATTTTGCGTCAATAGTTTATTTTTTCCGTATTTTTTTTTGTGTAAAACGATGTATATTTTTCTACAAAGTACAACAAACATATTAAGATTGGTTATTACTTTACCTTAGGGAACGTACCCACACTACGTGACCGGTTTAAGGAGAGGGGGGGGGGCAGCGGAGTCTTTAAAATACTACGGTCAGTCACAGGAGCGGAGGGGTGGCTCAAGTTTTAGTCACGTACTTATTAGTTGTTCTTTTTCATAATTCATAATTCAATAGTAATTTAGGTCTTAAAAAACTTAGAAAAAACTAAAAAAATAGGTCACGCAGTATGGGTATGTTCCCATAGTATAAAACGTAACAATTTTAGTCTATCTAAAATCAGTTCAGAAATGTTTAAATGTTTACTACAAATAAATACATTAATAAAATGTTGCTAGCTTCTTCTTATAAATTCTTTTAAAAATAATCTCTTAATTTAAATATCTCTTAAAATAAACAATATCTAGAGAAGTATCTATTAAAGCGGAACTGGAAGAATTTTCAACATTTTTGTTGAATAATTCACTGCATTGAATTGGTAATTCAAGAGCTCGTATAGATTTTCCTTTAACAAACTTTCCAGGTTTTCGTAGAAACGATCTGTCTTATGCTTTAGTTTACTGTCATATATAATAGAAAACAAAATTAGAGTGAAAAAAAGTTAATTAGTAGCCTATGTCTTCTTCCAGACAATATTCTACATCTATGCCAAATTTCAGCAAGATCCATGCAACTGTTCTGGAGATACCTTCAAACAAACATCCAACCATCCAAACATTCGCATTTATAATGTTAGTAAGATTTGGTAGTCAATTATAGAACAGAGAACAGATACTCAAATCATTGTCAATTCCTATAAATCTAAACACTCAAAATATAATTTACTTCATTTAATTTGACTTAAAACATATCGAAATAGAAAACTTCTACAACTTAAACAGAAAATCATATTAAAATAGGAAACAGAATTATAAGAATTGAAAAGGAATTTTAAATCGTATTTCCAGGATTTCTGCAATTCACTTGCTCAATATCCATGAAATACATCTGGTGCAGGCTGGATCTCATGTACTGTTGTGTGCTCTGTGCTGGTGTTGTGTGCTCTGTGCTTGTGTGTTGTGTGCTCTGAGCTTATGTGCTCTGTGTTCGAAATCAAATCGGACGCTCCATTGAGGATATCGGCTTGCATGTTTAATTTCCTCTCTCGTTTTCATTTGTACAGTTAAATCTAACTCCAATGGAAAATGAATACTGATTTTTTCAAGCTCGCTTTTATATATTTTGTTACTCTGATGTATAAACTATTGCACACAGTTTTTAATCACGGATTTGGTTGAGTTTTGGTTATTTTGTTGCTTGCATTTAAAAACGTGTTCAATTGAAGCTCCGAAACTATGCCCGGTTGACATAGACAATATTTATTACCAGGTTTTTTAAATTCTGCATGAATGAAGTTAGTGTTACTGCTATTTTGTTATAAAGACGTTAATTAAAAATGTCGGTTAGAATTACAATTCAGAAGACCGTTGCTTAGAAGAAAACAACTGATTAATTGTCTGATAGAACATGACTTACAACCTCAAATTAGAGGAAAGACGTTGTACGAAGTTATTAATATTAAAAGCCCTGGAGGATGTTTCCGTTTTTTCTAATTTTCAGTAGAAAGGCAAGCAATTATATTAAAATCTTTATAAAATATACCAGCGTGGCTTAGCTTTTTTTTATAAGCTTAGCTTTATTAAGTTAGCTTTATTTCAATGTTTTGTTGATTAATAAACATTCCAAAGACGCCATCAAGATAAAATAAAACTTAAGTTATCCATAAAAAACTGACATAATTTTCGTTGAGTAGGCTTAAACGGCTTTAATGTTTCTTTTTAAGTTGTTAACTCAGTTGACGACTTTGAAAGTTCTATAAACGTGCGCCTTTATAAAATTTAAAATCCGCAAACACTTACAATGAATAGAAATTAGTTACAAAATAATAGTTCGATGTTTAAACTTTTAAAAAGAACATTCACCTTTAAAGTAGAAATAATGTTTATAATTTAGTGTCTTTCTTTTCTTCTTTAAACGATCCATTGTGCACTCGAAAGCTTGTTCTATTCCACGATTTTTACAATCCAGTTTCTAAAGCTACCTTTACAACTTTATAAAGCGTAAAACTCAAGGCAGATTTTAAAGTACAAACTACATATTGTAAGAACATTGGTTACAAAATATTTAATATGCTTGAAATATCATAGATTGTAAGACATCCTATAGGATTAAACTGCATGGGGTTGGCTACAAAAGTGAATAACATTTTGACTACAAAGGATTTTCGTTAGAGTTTTTATTTTACTAAAATGACGTCTTTACTTTTTTCGCACCGTTTTTAAGGCGGCCAGTGAAAATACCATTTTTATATTTGAACATAAATTCATATAAAACTACTGACTATCGTTCCGTAATATCTCAAAATAGTCCCTTGCGTAAGGCCCTTCAATTTGCGAAATAAGCGTGAAGAAATTTTCTACCATCGCACCGTTCCACTATATTTTAAGCGATTCCCGTGGGAATGGGGATAAGGGGAAGTAGGGTCGGTGTAAACAGACCGTTAGTTTCATTCTGGAGAACAAATGATACATGAAAAATATTACATAACGCTTTAAAAAAAACAGAATTATATTAAGCGTTGTTATGCGTTACAATTTATATATATCTTACTAATATTATAAATGCGAATGTTTAGATGGATGGATGTTTGTTTGAAGGTATCTTCGGAACGCCTCAACGAATCTTGCTAAAATTTGGCATAGATGCATAGTCTAGAGAAACACATAGACTACTTATTATGTTTTTTTTATTTCGCACGGACGGAGTCGCGGACGACAGCTATTAATTAATAATATTAAAATGTCTATATACAATATAAAAAAATATTCATAACATAATATATTTCCGTTGCTTATAACGAATTGTTCACTGCATTTGTTCTGAGGGTTCTCCAGTTGGACCGATTTTAACTTGACTAGGACTGGGAGGTAACTGAGTATGCATGAGTATCTTAGGATTCTTTTTTTTTTTAAATTTCGCCCTGACGAAGTCATCATAGACCGCTGGTATATAAAGATCGCGAAGTCCTAATGCCAACATATGTATTAAAAAATATTGTTGTCTCTT